AGTGTTTGTTTTGTATTGCAGCGACAATTGGCAGCCATTGTGGGATAGATTGCTTATTGGCTCTTAGCGCCGCATTGAAAGTTTCATACGACTCCTTTCAGCCTTCTACTGGCCCAACAGACATGCGATCTCCCGCTTATTCAATACGTATCCAGGGTAGGGAGGTTTCTTCGAAAATTGGGCATATGGTCCGTACAACATGTATGGCCCTTGCTTCAACAGTGCCTTTCTCACATCGGTATACGACGACTTGATTATATCACCAAGCATGTGAATTAAATCAGGAAGTTTATGTTGTCTCTAATTGACAACGCATTTCAATACATGGTTTAATGACTATTAAACATGTAGACCTTGATAGAATTGAGCTGTAAATTTCTAATTTGCTCGTGTATGAGACACAATTCGTTAATATGCCTAAGCAATAAACTTATTTTAATTGCATCAAGACATATACTAGCTTTTTTTCTCAGATATGCATGGCTATATTAAAAATGTAGTAGATGACATAGCCATTTTACTAGGGACATAGCGGAAATAGTCATTTTAGTAAGAACCTAGCGGACATAGCCATTTTAGTAGGAACATAGTCATTTTAGTAGGGACATAGCCATTTTACTAGGGACATAACCATTTTAGTAGGGATATAGTCATTTTAGTAGGGACATAGTCATTTTAGTAGGAAAATATCGGAGTCGCAACTTTAGAAGGGACATAGCCATTTTAGTAGGGACATAGTCATTTTAGTAGGGACATAGCGGACATGTTCATTTTAGTAGGAAAATATCGGAGTCGCAATTTTAGATGGGACATAGCCATTTTAGTAGGGACATAGCGGACATAGCCATTTAAGTAGGAAAATATCGGAGTCGCAATTTTAGATGGGACATAGCCATTTCAGTAGGGACATAGCGGACATAGTCATTTTAGTAGGAAAATATCGGAGTCGCAATTTTAGATGGGACATAGCCATTTTAGTAGGGACATAGCGGACATAGCCATTTTAGTAGGGATATAGCGGACATAATCATTTTAGTAGGGACATAGCGGACATAGTCATTTTAGTAGGAACATAGCGGACATGATCATTATAGTAGGAAAATATCGAAGTCGCAATTTTAGATGGGACATAGCCATTTTAGTAGGGGCATAGCGGACATAGCCATTTTAGTAGGGGCATAGCGGACATAGTAATTTTAGTAGGAAAATATAGGAGTCGCAATTTTAGAAGGGACATAGCCATTTTAGTAGGGACATAGCGGACATAATCATTTTAGTAGGGACATAGCGGACATAGCCATTTTAGTAGGGATATAGCGGACATAGCCATTTTAGTAGGGACATAGCAGACATAGCCATTTTAGTAGGGACATAGCCATTTTAGTAGGGATATAGCGGACATAGCCATTTTAGTAGGGACATAGCGGACATAGTCATTTTAGTAGGGACATAGCGGACATGTTCATTTTAGTAGGAAAATATCGGAGTCGCAATTTTAGTTGGGACATAGCCATTTTAGTAGAGACATAGCGGACATAGCCATTTTAGTAGGGACATAGCGGACATAGTCATTTTAGTAGAAAAATATCGGAGTCGCAATTTTAGATGGGACATAGCCATTTTAGTAGGGACATAGCCATTTTAGTAGGGATATAGCGAACATAGCCATTTTAGTAGGGACATAGTCATTTTAGTAGGGACATAGCGGACATGGTCATTTCAGCAGGAAAATATCAGAGTTGCAATTTTAGATGGGACATAGCCATTTTAGTAGGGACATAGCGGACATGGTCATTTTAGTAGGAAAATATCGGAGTCGCAATTTTAGATGGGACATAGCCATTTTAGTAGGGACATAGCGCACATAGCCATTTTAGTAGGGACATAGCGGACATAGCCATTTTAGTAGGGGCATAGCGGACATAGCCATTTTAGTAGGGGCATAGCGGACATAGTCATTTTAGTAGGAAAATATAGGAGTCGCAATTTTAGAAGGGACATAGCCATTTTAGTAGGGACATAGCGGACATAATCATTTTAGTAGGGACATAGCCATTTTAGTAGGGATATAGCGGACATAGCCATTTTAGTAGGGACATAGCAGACATAGCCATTTTAGTAGGGACATAGCCATTTCAGTAGGGATATAGCGGACATAGCCATTTTAGTAGGGACATAGCGGACATAGTCATTTTAGTAGGGACATAGCGGACATGTTCATTTTAGTAGGAAAATATCGGAGTCGCAATTTTAGTTGGGACATAGCCATTTTAGTAGAGACATAGCGGACATAGCCATTTTAGTAGGGACATAGCGGACATAGTCATTTTAGTAGAAAAATATCGGAGTCGCAATTTTAGATGGGACATAGCCATTTTAGTAGGGACATAGCCATTTTAGTAGGGATATAGCGGACATAGCCATTTTAGTATGGACATAGTCATTTTAGTAGGGACATAGCGGACATGGTCATTTCAGCAGGAAAATATCAGAGTCGCAATTTTAGATGGGACATAGCCATTTTAGTAGGGACATAGCGGACATGGTCATTTTAGTAGGAAAATATCGGAGTCGCAATTTTAGATGGGACATAGCCATTTTAGTAGGGACATAGCGCACATAGCCATTTTAGTAGGGACATAGCGGACACAGCCATTTTAGTAGGGACATATGGGACATAGCCATTTTATAACTACCCATCCTGAGGGGTGGAGGGAAACTCGTCATGCGACAGCGGTTAACGGGCCAGTTAATGCCTGCAACTGCACGAAGGCTCTTCTTGTAATGGGAGATGGAAAGGTGGCTGTTTCACTTTCAACTTCAATAGCGAGGATAAATATATTAAATTAAATGTGTTTGGTTAGAATACTGTGCAGGGGATAACAAAGTGACAGGAAAAGGTGACAGGTACGGTACCGGTACCGAAAGGCATACCGGTACCGTACGGTACTCGACACGCAAAGGATGTCTCAAGTTATCATTTTCATCTAAGCATGCTAAATATATCATCATATTAATCGATTGTGTGAGCACTAAATCAATAGTATACAATCTAACCTAGTTAGTTACGAAGTTTTATCCCGCTACCGGCAGTCTCATTTATTCTAAACAGCCGTTGGATGCGAGAGAGAGAGAGAGCTAACTCGCTATGTCTATTTTCTTTATATTTGTTGATCGACATCGTGAGAGAGAGAGAGAGAGGGCTAACTCGCCATGTCTATTTTCTTCATATTTGTTGATCGACATCGCGCGAGAGAGAGAGGGCTAAGTTGCCATGTCTATTTTCTTTATATTTGTCGATCGACATCGCGAGTTCGAGAGAGAGAGAGGGCTAACTCGTGATATCTTTTTTTATATTCGTTGATTGACATCGCGAGTTCGAGAGAGAGAGAGAGAGGGCTAACTCGCCATTGGCCATGTCTATTTTCCTTATATTTGTTGATCGACCTCTCGACTTAGAGAGAGAGAGAGAGGGCTAACTTGCCATGTCTATTTTCTTTATATTTGTTGATCGACAAGGTTTCAGCCTTCGAGTCAGAATTTCTTTTTATCAGAAGTACCGTACCGGTACAGTATATAAGTATAACCGGTACAGGAGTACCGTACCGGTACTGTCCAGTGTCCGCAAGTTGTAAACGATGTAAATTTGACTGGCGGCACTAGTGTTATAGGGAGAAGAGACCCAATAGTGAGAACCTTATAGAAGAGACCTTATAGTATAAGACCCAACGGGAATACGGTACCGGTACTGTCCAAAGTAAATCAAGCGTCGTGCATGGTAGCCGATATCAAAACTTAGACACAACACATGCCTTCATTAACCAGTTACCGGTATCTATAAATTTGTGATGTAACAATGTGCATGTGCTCAAGTCTGCAAGTCGGTTCTTTGCGTAAATAAAAGGATAAAATTTAAGATTTACATATTTATCCCGGGGGAGAGGAAAGCCGATAACACGACTTAACCATATAGCGAACCACAGCCTCTCGTCCGGTTACCATTCCAAGTTGGGTATGGGATTAGTTAGTTATTTGCTTTTCGGAAGCATGGACTTGATGGTGTAGGAAGCCGTAACCGACCAGCGGTTACGTGAACCACCCTAGAGGCTACAGCAGCGAGGGGTCCAGCAATCGTCTCGCACCTAACCATCTCGCATGAGATTCGAACCTGCGAACCCACGCAGAGTAATCAGAGGTGCGGTGGCGAGCGTATTCCTAACGCTTAGCATGATGAGCCACACTACCGCGCCAAATGACATTTATATTTCATGTTCGCTGTGTTTGCATTGTTGTCTCCAGTTGAATGTTTTATAATTTATTATATTAGAGCTTAGAATCTCTGACTTAGGCTGTGCACCACTCGTATAGCATTTCATCAATTGTATACCCTACTTGTTGTCCGGCAGGTAGCCTATACACTTGGGTACCGTATACTGTAGCTATCTATACCGGGTACCGGTACCTGGTTAAAGAACACTGCTCTAAGCGATTCTGTTATTGCTGTGTCACCCAGTTCAGCAGTTATATTACAGTACGCCACACTATACAGATCGAGGGACATTGTCTCGTTTCCAAAAATTCCATTTTGCTGATGAACAAACACCCCTCCTTTGAGAGACATTGTTGTCCCTCAATATCTGTAAAAATCGGCAATCATGGCGTGATATGGCGCATCTGCCATCGTGCCAGACAGCAGACGCCCCTCGTTTGTGAGACACTTGGAGTGTTTGTTTTATTGGACCAAATGACGAGACATTAGTAGTTTATTTTTAAAACTCCATAACACACACAAATTAAAAATGGAGAATTCTGGAAAGCAAGCAAAACCTTTGAAGAAGTTCTTGAATTTTGGGTAGTGTGCCCTACTGTATTTAGATATTGGTTTAGGGTAGCCTAACGTTAAACAAACATAGAGTAACCAAAGAGAAAAAATAAAGTTAGTGCCCATAGACTCACCAGATTCTATTAATGCAGTGATGACCATTTCTCTGTTTCTAACCTTTACTCTTATTTCAGTACGGTATATTAGTTTACTTTAAATTTTTAGTTATGGCCGTTGCCAAATTAGAAGCAGTGGAGTGCATACTCGAATCACCAGACAAAAGCATGAAAACAGAAAATCTTTTCATCGAAGAAGAAATGAAATATTATTTTAGTGAAAAAAACAAAGTGAACACTTTAAATCCACAGAAAGGTAAAATTTATGGAAAAATCTTCTCTGAGTCACAGTATCTTGAAACCTATATGTTAACCCACAGCAAAGAAAAAAAGAATTACGAATGTGGGAATACCTACAGGCATATAAGTTATCATAACTCTGAATTTCATGGAAGGAATAGAACTGAAGCTAATACAGACTCTCACCATGAATGTTGTTATTGCAAGAAGAGGTTCAAAAGTCATATATTTTTGGCACAACATCTGAAAATGCATATGAAACCACGCAAATGTAAAATATGTGGAAAAATTTATTCAAAGTTAGAGAATTTTAAAGTTCATATGATCATGCATGGTGGTGGACAACAGAACATGATTGGGAAAAGAAAAATTATTGAAGATACAAATCTTTCCAACTCCAGCAAAAAGTCAAATTTTATTGCCGAGCCCGCACTAATTTTCACAAATGAAAAAGTAGCTGGTTTGCATAGTAAAAATTCTGCAATTGAATCTAATACCGACTTCTGGCATGAGTGTTGTTTTTGTGGTATGAGTTTCGAGAGTCCTCACTTTTTAACTCAGCATTTAAGAGTGCATACAACACCACAAAAGTGTGACGTATGTGGGAAAATGTACGAGGGACCGCTACAACTCAAATTGCATATGCTTGTTCATAAAGGTAAAAATAGGAAGACGTACTGGGATGAAATTTTCCAAAAAGTAAGGAATAGGAGGCTATTGATCTTGAAACAGAAGGTTGCTATTCCCCGAACTACCGTTGCGAATGAGAAAAATTTTCAGAATGACCCACATGTTAGAGAATTAATTGAAGGTAGTGCTGACTGTCGACATAGATGCTGCTACTGTGAAAAGATGTTCCATAGTCATTTGCTTCTTGCACAACATTTAAGAACACATACAAAACCACGGAAGTGTGAAGTTTGTGGGAAAACATTTGCCAAACTACAAAATCTAAAAGATCATATGCTCATTCATACTGGTAAAAATATTGACGCACGAGTTCTGCATAATATGAGTGATTCGGCCACTGATGGAATCTCACAAGAATGTGCAGGGTTGAATAGATTTTCTACTGGGACAAATATTCCAATTCAGAAAGCTTGTGAATTACATGGTGAAAATCATTCAACTGATTCTAATAATGGACGTTTTCATGATTGTTGTTTGTGTGCTAAGAAGTTCACAAGCCCTTACCTTTTGGCAAAGCATTTAAGGGAACATACGAGACAAAAAAAATGTAAAATTTGTGGGAAGATATTCAGGCGTCCAGATTATCTTAAAGCTCATTTGCTTACTCACAGCGGTGAAAAGCCGTAAAAATGTGATTGATGTGACAAGAGATTTTTTGCATACCAGTGTAGTAAACCAGTATAAGTGAACTTGGTAGTTCATTTAAGAAGTGTTATCATTGTCAAAAAATGGCCCAGATAGGCAGCCACTTAAAGCTGCACACTCACAATGGTGGAAAGCCATAAAAATGTGATTGATGTGACAAGAGATTATTTGCATACCAGTAATAAAAGTGAACTTGATATTTTATTTAAGAAGTGTTTTCATTGTAAATTTTCATTGCAATGGAGGTGCTTTGACTCCCATACCAAGTTGAAAATACTTTTAAAAAACAACATTGGCACTGTGGCAGTTTGATAAGACGAAGTACAGTATTCATCTGTTATTTTTTTCTCTTATAAGCTTTGAATAAATTTTTTTCTTTGTTATTGTATGCCAAGCTCATTTCAACATTTGAATATATTTTAATTTCGAAAACATTTATCCAAAAAATTTGACTCCTTGACATTAAAAAAATGTCTCTGTTGAAGAAGAAACAAGTAGGTATATGTTGGGTATTCAATAGTGAAGTAACTTTAACTTTTAACTTTATTTCGACTGAGTATCAAATTATTTTGTTTTGGCCAATATCAGTATCATCTTGAGGGAAGCTTAAAACCTGCTTGTCACATTCTGTGCTGTGTTTGTTTCTAGTTCTAGTTGATAATAAAATAATTTTTATATTAGAGTATCATATTTTCCCAAATATTGAAATGGATGATAATTCATTACACCATAATGCCGAACAAGAAGAATTATTTGATGCTTTTTTCATGCCTTTTTGCTCTGAACAAGGCCTTATATAAGCAGCACTAGTATCTGACAATATGTAAGCAGCTACCATCATTCGGTAGAACAAGAGTCTTTTGGGTTCAGCATTGCCCTTCTGTTTCAGCATTGCCTTCCTGTTTCAGCAATTCCTTTCTGTTTCAGCATTGCCTTTCTGTTTCAGCATTGCCTTCCTGTTTCAGCAATGCCTTTCTGTTTCAGCATTGCCTTTCTGTTTCAGCATTGCCTGCCCAATTTATTACGCCTATGTAGGAATTGTGGACATGGGATTCGAATTATTCATTTTTATTTCCATACTTGGCAAGAAAGTTTGAAAGTAATCCTAACAAAATTGATAATGTTAAAAACTGTGATTGTACATACATGCTTGTCATATGCATGTGCTTCAGTCAATGTACCTATACTATGATGTACTACTATTATTTTGAAGGAATAGAATCTTTCCAATTGAGCATTTCCTACCCAATATATTACACCCGGCAGGTTGGCATGGGATTTGAAAATAATCTTAACATTATGGCAGACTTGATAATGTTAAAATTTTTGTACTGCACATACATGTACCTGTTTGTGTTTCAATCAATATACAAATGTACTGAACATGCAAAAGTGTTTTGGCTATTATGGTGTTTGAGAACATTTTTTAATGCGAACATTTTTTTTTTTTTATAATTGTCATATTTTGCGGGGACGGTCTGTGTTAGCTAGGTGAATATATGGCCGCACGCAGGTGAATCATTCAGATTACTGGAAAAATATTAGTAAAAATTCATGAACCAGACGGTAAAAATTTTGGTGAACTCGTGTTATTTGCGACGCATGAAATAAGAATATGGATAAGGTAACAACTACTATATAATAAAATTCATGAACTAGACGGTATCCGCAAAATTTCTAGTAACGCTTCGTTCTTAATTAACTTTTATTTCCCGCGCGTAAAGGCTGCCGTTAGAGTAAATTATAACATTATTAAATATTTATGGAAGCGAAGCGACGGAATAAGCTGATTTGAATATTACTTATCTATATCATCAAACAATGTTGCACAGAGGCAATTTTATAATATTAGCAGTTAAATCCTCAAGCTTCTCAAATTACATATATCGCATCCAACCCCACTGTAACGTGTAATCGATTCAACAGGAAATGCCGAAGCGGTTCTATCGTTAGACCCAGCCGTGTTGGCATCGCAGATTCCACATCACTGGATCAATTCCTATGACCTCGGCCAGAGTGTATTAAATTGAGTAAGCAATGCGTAACTAGGAAGATTCCGGTTCTGCCAAGTAATGGCAACTGGTTTAATGTCAGGGCTGCTTGTATATGACCTTGTTTAGTGGGAACGGCTTGAATAAGTGTCGTATAGAAAAGTGGTCGAAAGCCGCGCGCTTAAAAAATTGAAGTAAAATTCAGCCTTCAGAATATGTCCGACGAATTTCAAGTGCAGTTCTACTTCCTATAAATTCAATTTCCTGTGCTCGTTATAAGCATCGAATGTAATATTATTGGGTTATTTCTGGAAACGAAGTAACGACGAAAGACGGAATGAACTGGGCGAGTGTATTGCTTCTGACTGCAGCCTTCAATCTGTCTATTTCACCAAGATTAATGATGGTGTCGGCGAACGATGAGAATGCTAAAGAAGTAGAATCGTGGATTGTGGATAATAGTCAACCACCACTAACGCTAGGCGTGCCTCTCATCGTGCTGAGGGAGGGCTTGTCAGACGAAAGATAATTACAGAAGTCATTGATGTGTATTCGTTTAATTATCACTTCTATTGTACCATTCATTTTTGAAACTCAAGAATACTCAAGAAGTTGGAACCAGAATAATTTTGATTTTATGAAAACATGTTGAAATCGTTTGTTAAGTCAGTACGTAGACCAGGGGTCTCAAACTCAATTTACCTAGGGGCCACTGGAGTCAAGAGTCTGAGCGAGTCCGGGTCGCATCAGGTTGAGCTTAGCTATAAAAAAAAAACGTTGGATTTCTGGTAACTCTATAATTTTAAATAATATTCTGAGGGCACGGTTGTTACAAGCTCAAAATACAATGTGACTGAACATTTCCAGAAATGGGGCACATACAAAAAGAGCATACACAATTACTTAACTTCCAAATATTAGAAATTCGATTCTATTCAGAAAAAAAGTTCGATCAGATTCTGAAATCATCAGTCATTTGAAAAAGTCCAGCCCTAGTTACACCCCTTCGGAAATATCTGCTTAACTTGGCTGAAAAATTGTAAAAATATCCAACGCGTCAAACCTTTGGGAATCCAGACAGTATCCCCTTAATTTCTAGGAACCATGTATTCCAAACTAACTTTATGGGCGCAGGGTCGTAACAAGGTTAGATTGTTTTTTGAAATGTTTTTGAAAAAGTAGCGTCGACGAATTGTGGAATAGCATATGCAATAGAAGAAAATTTAGCAAATCAATCCAAATCCATAGTTCCACTTCAAGTCTAACAAAGTAATGCTCTACTTCAGACATGGGCACACTACGGCCCGCGGACCAAATCCTGCCCGTTGGGTAATTCAATCTAGCCTGCCTGATGCTGCCACTACCAAATCAAATTACTTTTTTTAGATCAAAAATTTATTGAGATTGCGAATAAATTTGGTTTTCGCACTCGGCCATGTTTTCCACTTTTGCTTTTGTGATACCGTAAATAAAATTATGTTCATAAAATACTTTTTACGTCACGCTAAATGGCCCGCCAGTCTAGGTGGCCCCTGATCCAAAAAACATGCTTACCCCTACTTGCTACTTTTTAGGACGTGTTTTACGTCGCTCCGAACTAGGCCCAGCACAAGCATCAACTGATGTATAAATTTACATTATTTTCCGAAATGTTCTCAGTTCGACATTACCTACCCGAGATTCAGATTCAGATAATTTATTTTCGTCGTGCAAGAAACATTATGAACAACACAAGCATAGTAAATCAAGGCAAAAGAAAACAACAGACACATAATGTTTCGACTGCAATTAACGAGGAGCCGCGAAAGACTATCAAGTCATCGTGTCAGCGACACCATTAAAGCTGAATGACGTCAAAATAACGTCAAATGATTAAGGTTGAGTTATATATGATCAGGGCAAAAATTTGGAAAACGTAAATCGAATCGAGAGAGTAAGCCAAATGAGAAAAGTTTAAATAAAAAGTATGAATGGAATCAACAGAGTCGGGGAAGAAATGATTAATCTAGAATTAAGTTAGCTCAGGGGAAATTTAAAAAACGTAAATCGAATCGAGAGAGCAAGTCAAAAGAGAAAGGTTTAAAAAGAAATGTGAATGGAATCGAGAGAGAAATGTTTAAATGTGAACAAATATCCATCGTGTCGAGTAAAAGTCAGAAAAAAACGCGTTCACGATAAATCATTATGTCAGTCACGCAATTTATACCCAATTTATTACACTCTGGTAATGGTCATGGCATTTTAACCTGTGATGGCATCATAGTCAAGTCTGGCGCTATAGAACAGTTTAATATTTGGCACAATAATTATCAACTTAAATAAAATCTTGAACAAACATCAATTTTATAAAATTTCAAATCGACTTTATTTCTGGGGACGCCTCTTTTCTTTAAAAACGATGCATGGTAAGGGAGGAATATAATATAAAACATAGGCAGAGGGTGAGATTTAACAAAAAACGTTGGAAACCATTGACTTCGCAGTAAAACTCGATTACCTTCGCAGTAAAACTCGATTAATTAAAGTAACATTCTACTTAGCCTTAGACGCCACGCGCAAATACATTCAGACTTCTGAAAACATTCGTTTAATTTCTAGGAATGTGTTACTTACTTTATACAATTTCAATTTCTTGCGAGAAAGCTTTTTATAAGCTTTGAATGTAATATTAGTGAATCATTTCTGAAAACGAAGCAAGGACAAAAGACAGAATGAACTGGGCGAGTGTATTGATCCTGACTGCAGCCTTCACTCTTATTATTTCGCCAAGACTAATGATGGTGTCAGCAAGCGATGATAGCAGTAACGTAGATGACTCGGGAACTGCGGAAAACGGCCAAGAGGATCCAATCATAGGCGGGTTACCTCCTACGACTATAAGAAAGGCTCAGTCATGAAACTGAAGACTTTGTTGGACGCGTCAGAATTATGGCATTTCTTACTTCATACATCAATTATTTTCGTTCAATTGTCGTGACCAATTAAATTTTGCATCTGAATATCTACAGTTTGTCAGACACACTTGAGATGATCATAATTTAGACAACAATAAAGTTTAACAAAAAAATTTGCTTTTTGAAGTTACGACTTGACGGGATATATTCAGACGTGGGATTTGAAATACGGACTTATCATTTTGGTATTTGAGATAGATTGGGTGTCGATAGCAGGGCTGGGGAGGCGCTGAGGCTCAAGGTATTAAGGAATGACTCGTCATTCATAAGCCGCTGCTGGGATTTGTCCAAGTTATTAACTCGATTCGACTCCCATAATCCATGATTCAACTTCATTCCCGCCTCGCGGTTCAATCACTACGCCACCGCGCGTGCATAAGCTTGCAAGTTATAGTTTGGATCTTGACAAATACGTTCATGTTCATGTGATCATGTTAGGTCAAAGGTCAATGAAGATGACCTTCACGCTAGTGACGACCTGTGTAGACATGTGGTGTACTGGTATTCTGTGTTTGTGTTAGTCTGCTATAGTTGTATGTTAATCTGACTGTTTCTGACTGAGAAGTCATCCGTAATAAATGCTTGCTGGATAATATATAAAGCCTCTGTATGTATGCCTTATGTGTTTGGCTAGACAACACATGACATACGGAACTGGAATGACTGCACTCCAGTGTTCTTATAGGCGTCGCTGTCATCCTAGCGAATGTGAAACAGTAGCGTGAACAGGAATTTTCAAAGGGGCTTTTGACATTTCTAATTAATTTCTAATTTCTAAGTTAAACTGTAACAGCTAGCGTGTCTTGCGAGACTCCCGAAAGCGTGAATTTTTAGGTGTTTTGAGGGTCTAAAAAGTGTATCAAGCTACGACATAAAATTTAAAATAAATCTTGTTTGGAACGACTGTGCAGTCGACGTTAGGTTACGCATTGATAAAAATGACGCCGGATTGAAAAAAATCTTATTAATACTGACCCAACAAAGAGGCAATGGGGTACATATGCCCCCGGGCGCCAAGGTACAGGGGTGCCAAAATGAGGCTTGCAAAAATTTCACAACGAGGGTATAAAAACGGTCACAAGCATGATCGCACCAGCGGCAGACATCTAGTCTTCGTACATGGCAAACTGCACACTTGGTCAGACCACTTACGTCGACTGCCGACGTCATCAGGCAGATAGCTCGCGCACGGTCAGATTTCCATCGTATTTACATGGCCAAAAAATCTAGCCGGGAAACAAAGCAAAATTTGATTTGGTAACGTTAGGTAACAAAATGCACCGGGTTAATTACGTGGTTCTGTATCGTTAAGTTCTTGCCTGCGCACTCCGATGTAAGTTGATATTGGTTCTGTGTACGAGATAAAGGGCAACGGAATTTGGTTGAATGATGTTAATACATATTTTGAGTAATACGTGGTTTTGTATTTCGTTGTTGTCAAAGTACCGTCCTTTGCGGCAGAGTTACATAAAATATATTATACTGTGCTAAAAGACCCCAATGCCGTTTTCGACAATTCGTCGAGATTGCACAGATTTTGCAAATTTCTACGACACGGACATCAATGGCCACGAACTTTTCACCGAAATTGAAGATTGCAGAATGCTGCTCAGTAAGAGAACTGAAGGTCAATCAGAAACTCCTTTGGCTCTTCTTGGTTTTATTGTGTCTTTTGGAGACGACGTTTTAGCCAATCTGCGAATTTCTCTACAAATTTTTTAACAATTCCAGTTTCAATTGCAAGCTGTGAACGGTCTTTCAGCAAATTGAAACTTATTTTGTCGTATTCGCGTGCATCGTCGGGACAGGATCGTCTCAGTGATCTTGCACTTCTAAGTGTTGAAAGAGAAACATTGGAAAAAAAAAACAGATTTTGATGAAGTGTTAACCAGTTTGAGACAGTGAAATCAGAAAAATGGATTTATTGTAGACTATGTAAATCATCTTTAGTGGGACATGATAGACATATATATGCTCTATTTTGTATAGCTTTGGTTCTTCTTTAAAAAAAATGTTCCATTAAAATTTGAATTTACATATACATATATTTTTGAATAAATAATAAAATATATAAATTTGAATTTACATATATAATTTGTTTATACATATACAATTAAATGCAATAGAAAACATGATTAAACGTGGGGGTCGGGGCGTCAATTTTATAGTTTGCCCCGGGCGCTAAATATGCTAGCTACGCCTCTGGAAAGACGAGTCGTGTTATTCCTTTTAAATGACTCAAGTCTATGATAAATGGTGATTAAAGCCTACCCAGCACGACTATCAACACGCAGATCTATCTCAAATACCAAAATGATAAGCCACGTCTGACTATATCCCGTCAAATCGTAAATCAGAAAGCAAATTTTTTTTGTTAAACTTTATTGGTGCGTAAATTATGAGCATTTCAAGTGTGTCTGACAAACTGTAATTTCAAATGAACAATTTTATTGGTTACGACAGTACAACGTAATACTCAATCTACGAAGTAAAAAATGCCATAAATGTGACGTCTCCAACAAAGTCTTCAGTGTAATGACTGAGCCAATCTCAGAATTGTAGGAGGAGGTACGCCTAAGAGGCCTGGCGGTATCTCTTTGTCGTTTTCCGGAATCCTCAGGTCATCTCTATCACTTCTATCATCATTTGCAGACACCGACATCAATCTTGGTGAAATAATCAGAGTGAAGGCTGCAGTCAAAAGTAATACACTTGCCCAGTTCATTTTGCTTTCCGTCGTTGCTTTGTTTTCAGAAATGATCCAATAATATTACGTTTAAAGCTTATGAAAAGCTTTCTCGCAGGAAATTGAAATTATAAAAAGTAATTAAGGCATTCCGAGAAACTCGGCGGATATTTTCTGACAGCTGAATGATTTGGAGCGTGGCGTCTAGCGCTAACCATAATGCTACTTCAATCATGTTATTTCACCCTTTGCCTATTTTTGAACTCTCCCTGTGCATAAAACTACCGAACTTTATTTGTTTAATCTTTATTGGATCATTTGCTAGTGTTATGAGCAAGTCGCACTCCATTTTTTTCACAGTTTAAGTAATTTATTGGGTGCTCCCGAAGTATGTTAATCAAGATGGCAGACAACGGAACGTAGTACGTGTAACAGGTTAGGGTTAGTACAAATACTACGTGAGTCACTTGGCCAGTCCCTGCACTCGTAATTGAACTGAAGAAAAGAAAACTGGAATAAAATGATGGTCTAACTCTAACCTGGTACACATACTATGTTCCGGTGTCCGTCATCTTGATACGCATACTTCAGGAGTACCATTTATTGTGTATTCAGGAATAAGTATTATAGTAAGAAGCAAAAATTCAAGTATAGTAGTAATAATACAGTAAATACAAAGCAAAATTCCTGCCTCAAAACGGTAAATTTCTTCCTTTACCGCGAAACGTTGTGCTAACCTGTCAATCAATCGTTGAGAATTAAATATGAATAGTATTTTTACAATAGGAATATTTTTACTTGTGCGTGGCAAGACATACGTCGTCATAACCAGTGTTCCCTCCAAAAAAATTACACTGAGCAAATGTTTGCTTTATTCAGCAAAAATATTTTAAAGCTGAGCAGAGTCCTAAATGGTTTGCAAACTTTGTGAAATATTACTATTGTATAATTTATTATCAGAATGCGAACAAAGTACTCATTTGACAGACTAGCTAAGCGTTAGACTGCAGGGCTACTCAACTTGCGGACCTTTCGAGTATTTGATTCCGCCCGCACCTAATTCTTTATTTTGAATCATTAGCCCCACTTTTGAAGTTTCCTTTTATAAAAGGACTTTGATAGTTTTAAACATATATGAAAAGATAACTATAACACTATAATAAACAATCTTGATTAGCTAATAATCATTAGCCGACGGAGGAAGTGCGCGTTTAGGGATGCCGAAAACAGTTTCGGAAAAGATCGGATCGTGCGTGGGTTACGCGGTACACTAGATTTCAGTCAGTACAGTCCAGGGTTCCGCAAGTTCATTTTCAAAATCCTACAGTTTATATTAATAATATTCTATTTAATATCCCTTCACAATTTTAATTTTTGTTATGAAGTCAGTTCTCAATATATCTTAACTAGCTGTGTTGTTTTTAATCAGTAATTGTTTAAGTATTTTTATTTCATTTAATACTCTGTGAGGGTCAAAAGTCAAAACAATATATGGTATCGATAAATTCCCTTTGCCATTTAAAAAAAAATTGAGCCCCTATATATTGTTCAGATGTAATCAAATTGAAATGTAAGAAATGTCATTTGATTTTGCCAATGTTAAGTTTACTTTCATATATTTACATTTGATAAAATTCAGACGATAAATTGAACTATTGTACGTGGGGGTGACCATACATTTGAACCCACGTACATTTGAACCCATGTGTATATCCGCGGGTTCAATCTATATGCGGGTGCTAAAACTCCTGGGTCAGGGTTAGTATGGGTTCAAATATTCGTAAAACAAAAAATTCCCATAGGTGCAATAGCATGCAGGTGCAATTGTCATGGGTTCAAATGTACTTGGGTTCAAATGTAATGGAACCGTACGTGAGTCCTCGAGTCTCTGGAACGTTTCCTTGCGGTTCCGCTCTGTCAAAATGATTGGTAACCGATTCCGTATTTACTCATCTCATTTTGACAAGGTCCATCCATTCTGCTTTAACGCAAATGAGATTCGTAAACTCGATCGTTGTCAATCACCAATAATTAGTAATTACGTTCTTCACTGTTTATGTTTTGTGCAAAGGAGGAGTTTTGTCTAAAATGACGTGATCCGTAAATTACTTGTGTATACCTTGTTATCAGAGTAAGGTTTGCTTTCTGTCTCAGGTACCGCACAATGGTATATTTCGTTCTAGTTTTTTATTCATCTACAGGGAATTAGTTATTTTGTATTTATTGTGTCAATTTGCAGTTTGGAGGAATGTTGTCATATATGTGACCCACTACCAGACGTTAATGCCCATTTGCTGATTTTTCCATCTTAGGTTGGAATAGTGAGTCTATAACCTAACTTGAGCAATAAATAGGAAATAAGTATGTGTTTGGGCAATTACAGTACAGAACCTTATACAGTACCTTATACAGAATGAAACAGTGCGTAGGCGAACTATCGGTACTCCCGTAGTATGTGTGTGTGTAGTTTAGGGTTAGGCCATAATTTTATTCCGATTTTCCTTATTTTAGATTTTAGTTCGGGAACTGTCTGTGTTAGACAAGTGAATATACCTCCTGCCCATAGGTCTTCTGTCTTTAACAATGTGATGACAAACCCATCACGGGGTTTTAGGTCACTGTTTGCATCCTAATATTGGTTTGGCTTCGAGCGAAGTTCTACAAAAACGAGTGTACAAAGCGGAATATCCTGATTATTAGAGGAAAATACTAATGTCAGTATTACTGACCTACTACCTCAGATAGAATTGGCTGTCTATTCAAAACATTGTTTAGAGCGAAAGTTGCGAATAAACGTCGTAAAAATAATAAGATTTGTGCTGAAATTGTTCAAGAATTGTACTAAAGTAGGCCAAAGATTTAGCGCTATAAGGAATATACTTAATAAATCATTTAAATTTTGAAAAAATGTAACATATTACAAATATGGAAATCGACCGTTTCATAACTGGCACTCCGTGTTAACCATTTCCTTCAAGATGTGCGTTGGATAAATAAAAAATTAAATAAAAGTAGTGTGTAAAAGTCTCGTGTATTACGAGCTTCACTTGTATGTGTATTATTCAAAACATCAAAGTATTTCATTCAAGGTACATACAAGGTCTTAGTGAATTCTAAAATCACCGTTAGTTTTTCGTTAAATATAGGACAACAATTGTTTACGTTCAAATCTTTTTTGCAGACTAAAACTATCATAGCTGTGGAATTAACAACCTTTGGTCACGTCATTCTCAAATCACCATTCATTGGTTCAATTATCTGTGCTCATAAGATCAAGTCAACTGTTTATATTTAATTCTTAGTGATTGTCAATGTTTCATTTTAAATGTAAATCTTATTTTTGCAAACATTACAGATTCTTTCTATATCTATATTCTATATATGTGCTCAAAGCTTCAATGATAATTTGAAGATGAATCCTGCGTTCTTACCACAGTATCCCGGCGCGCATCCTCAAATGCATTATTTTCCCAGGCCGATGTTACCAAACTACGTACCTTGGCCTAACTACTCAGGTAAGATGACTTTCTAGAACTTAGTTTTTGGTTCCAGCCGATTTGAAATAAAAATAAAAACGAGTACTTTTGTATCGAACTCACGAAGCCCCATTTATTTCGGAGAATATATTTCACTACGTGGCGCGCTTTACATAAATCAAATACAAACCTTTTGAAACGTCAAATACAAAGGTGGATGAAAAGTGCCAATGACTCTTTGGTATAACCAAATTACCTTCAACAATATTAATTAAATGATTCGAATCGAGGACCAAAGGTTAAAAAAGCATACATACATGTATGGCAGATCGAATATTAATACGGGTGTTAAAAATGTTGCAAGAAATTGAACGGATGTAATATCAATTAGAAATTCGGTTATTTTACTCTTTTCATCGATTTTTTCTCAACGCAAACCTCTTACTGAATGATTTGGATCGTTAACTTAGAATCAGATATTCCAGACCGAGATCCCGCATACAGTTGATATAAATATAAAATACTGTGTAATATTATTATTAAATGTATTTCTTCACAAAACGATAATTTAGGTGTTGAACGAATGTATTATTAAACAAAAGTGAAACTATCACTTGATTAATTTCCTGAAATTATATTTCTGCATCAGCTAAATAGCTAGAACTTGTGATAGAGTTTGCAAATCGAGATTTGAAAAGAGTATACTTTGGGGATATCGTCAAATTAGAAATCGTCGGTTAGGATTTAAAAATGATCTAAGTTGAACGTGTTCAAAGCAGCTCCCCAAATGCCTGGTGTGTTCTCTATTTGTTTGTGAAGAAACATATCTTTTATTAAAACCTATATTATCTTACTATATACGAGTTGGTTTTAACCAGGGTTCCGTAGCACACAAGGGGGGGCTCCCGAAGTATGCGAACCAAGATGGCGGACATCGGAATGTAATATGTGTACTAGGTTAGGGTTAGGCCATAATTTTAGGTATAAATACTACGGGAGGCTCTTCGCTAGTTTTTGAACTGATAATAGGACTAAAATAAGGAAAATTGGAAAAAAATTATGGCCTAACCCTAACCTGTTACCCATGTTACGTTCCGATGTCCGCCATCTTGGTTCGCATACTTCGGGAGCACCCACAAGGGTTTATCCACTGTAGTTTAAGAGCTTCCATTCCGATCCGAGAGTATTTTATGTAGGTTGTTTAAATATAATCGAATACCCTATAAGATTACCACTATTATTGAACTTAATACACTTGTTCCGGCGGTATAAATAAGGTTTGATTATATATTTTTACAGACATAATTAGGACAATTTATTTATTAAACAGAAGTTCCCAGAACCGCCGATATTTTTTTATCGAGATAGATCCGCTCTGCCACAAAGTCGAAAACCATTTGCTACACAAGCAATTGATATCCAGAAACTCCACAAATTACATTTTACAATTTTGTTCAGATTTATTTCCGGGATATCCATGCTTCTTCATACCACAATACCCGCAAGTGTCTTTGATTCCATACGAACAAATCCATCCCTTATATATGAAACCGCAAATTCCCTACATCCCTGCTGCTCCACATTGCCCACCCAGGCCTGTTCACCCGCCACGGTTGCCAACTTCGCTTCAATCAAATGTACAACGACCATCTCGAGACAGACAAGCAAGATATAATGCAGGTATTTGATTGTCAAGGTATCTTTAGGATGATAATTTTAAAATTTTATTTAATGTTGATTTTAATTCTGATGAATATTTTATCACCTGTACCTAACAAACTCTTCCGAGTATAAAACCATATGCTGCTGCTGCCCTGAGTGCTGACCTATTACACCTTGAAATATGCGCATATAGATATCCAAATATATTATTATTCATTGTTGCTGCTACACGTATCTGCTGTTTATATTAAAATGTTTAGTATTTTGCTTTCCAATGTTCTAGACAAGCAGGGTTCGGGATATAAATCCCTCCTAATTTATTACATGCAGCTGGACGATTTCCAGCTCAGGTCTTTAGCACGGCGGCGGCTTCACCGGTTATGTGACACCAGTTCCGTACTAAATGAAATTTTGTAGTTGATATCTTGTAGCCTAGAGCTTGAGTTTTAAGTCGATAAATTGGGTATGGGCTGTGCCGAACTAAAACGATTTTGATACGATCAAAAATAGTAGCCCATACACATCGTTAGATATCAATGAATGCTTGTACATTTTTTTCTAAGAGAAAGACGTCAATAACAATAGGCGTTGTTAAATAAAAAGGTTCGCCGGTCAAAAGACGACTGTCGAATCGTGAGTCATACTGTCGGATTTCCCGGGGTCTGACATCGGAGTCAAATGAAAACCAGACTAGAAGAAAGTTGATTATATCGAAAATACTGAATTTAAACTTGTTCCCAGTCGCCGCGTGCCCATGTAACAGACATCACACCCATTAATCCTGGGAATATCAGTTCTGGGATGTTTTGTAGAAAGTTCCTTCCAAAAACACCCCGAACGACGCTCAAAATAGTAATTATTCAGGTAGGATTAGGGTAAGGAATACAAATTGCGCTGGAAATTCAAATTTTTGAATAATTTCTAAACCTGACCGGATAATTCATTTTAATTAAAGCGAGGCGGGGATGTATTTCTCAAATCTCACATTTTTGCATTAATGACGAGGGCATTCTACAGAAGGTCCCAGTTCTTAGAAAGGAAATATTCCAATTTACGTTTTTTTATTATTATTTTCAGCGTTACGTGTCCATGATAACACTGCATTTCAAACCCACAACCCTACAATGGTAGAGCATTATAGAACAAGAGATGCTTCATCCGTAGCTGGAAGAAAATTATTCTCTGGATTGCGAAGAACTTTGAACGACGCAACAGTTCAACCTTCCATCGGAAATAGCGTCATTGACGGTGGAAGAAAACGAAGGCTGGTAGGTCTTACTGATCAATATCCGTAACATTTTGCTCAATGATAAAGTATATACTTATATTTCAATTTTTAAATTTAAGTGCTATTACAATTTTTTAAAATTATTGGACACGAAGTCTACATATGCACATTGGCGTGGCCAGGAAGGAGGCTACGGTCTGAGACCCTCATTATGAAATGTAAAAAATTAATAGTTTTATGTATCAAACATAGCATTTTTCGTACTTAAAGAAGGCTCTATAAAGACATTACTTTTTTCAAATTTCTATGAGACCCGATATTTTGTTCAAAATGTCTGCGTTTCTTTTTATTTCGTGGAAACACATTTGTTATAACATGGGAACATTTTTCTATAATATTTGACCCTCGTGTCCTTAATATTTGAGCCATGTTCTCTCTTATTTCAGAGACGCAGACGAAAGAAAATTCTCGACACCGACAAACAACTTGGAATTGTTCATTCAGAAGAACTCAGCAGCATCAATATGTCATGTAGGTTGGCTTTCGAAAACTGTGAATATAAAAGTTATATACCTATATAACGTATATAACTAACAAAAACTAGTGTACGGTAAAAACTATTGATCTTCCAGTTTTTAGTAAAAAAAGTAGTTTTGTTATATTTTCTCACTACAGATTAAACATCTGTGTATGAAGTATATTTCACGACTTTAATACAAGTAGAACGCACTAGATTTGAGAAAGGGAAACATTTGTTGGCACGATATTTCACTGTATAATTAATTGACTGGATACGAATAATTCAAAGCAAATAAATCAAAAGGCAGTCATAACGTCATGACATTTCCAATTGCTAGCATAAATAACGTAGCGTAGTATCAAAGTAGTATCAAAGTGTCGTTTTACGCTTTGACCAGTGTGCCACACAAACACTAAAATATTGCTAAAACCATAAGTGTGTGAGTACTGATATATCACTTACATCGGCGGTGATTTACTCTGTACATAACTGCACATGGAGAGTACATATGTATCGTTTTAATATTATGTTCTTGTTATTTTTAATATCCTCAACACTTTACTTTTTAGCCCATCTCAACACACAGATTCCTACTAACACAAACGATGACGATGCAAATTATGAGACTTGTGATGATGAGGACGATTTTACGGCCATTGCAACGGATTCAAGGGCATTGAAATCTCGACAGTGTACTTTAGGTAAACATGCAGTCACTTAATGCGACTAAACCTTTTTTTTTAATTTTCCAGGACTACATTAATATTGAGACAATTAGCTGCGATTTGTTCATATCTTTGACAATAACGCTTATGAATGTGTGGATAAAATAGAAACTATAGATACCCCGCATGTCATTCTTCAATCATAGTGTTTGAATGTCAATGACGCGTACCAATTGGTATAATGACCTAATAGTTTTACAGCAGTATTGATGGACAACATGCAATGATTATAAATAGACGTACGATAAAACTTGACAAAACTGTGCAAAGCGGAAACATATGACATTTTATGCATCAACAAAATTGAATATATCTTCAATTTTCCGATTTTCATCTTCTATCGGTCCGTGGTTTACATTGTTTAAAAATTGTATATATAAGGTATTGCTCCAAAGATTTAACCTAGAAATATATAATTTGTTGCATTTCAGATGATTATCGTGAATCTGGAAACGGGCACAATGACGTGGCACAAAGCAATGCCGATTTTACAGCAATCGCTACCAACAAGTCTTACTCGCATGTATTCTCTGTAAGTATACTTTCATAATACTTAGCAATTTCAGGTAATAATACAAAGTAGCAATGAAAGTATATTTTCAACACATAGAATTGTACGAAGGAGTACTATTTTGCTCGGGCTTATTTGGGCAATGACGTTCATATTGCTCAATTTTAATGATCTTAGTGTTTGTCTATGTTTCTTTATTGAAAATATCCTGATTTATTTTTCTATTTCATAAAAGTATCCCCTATTGAGGCAAGCAAAGCATGATTGCAGACACAGTTATGTTTAGCTATTATACCAACCTCAAGCATAATTAAATTGTCAAATAAAATATCTCCTCTATGTGGGCTTTATATTGTTGCAGGTAAAATCTGCCACTCACTTTCACGGAAAAAAGGGAAATTCTGTCTCCAGACGGGCAGTGCTGAGACGAAGACGTGGTAATCTAGATGCGACTTCACACAATTCCGAAGTCGGCGTAGGAACATCTAGAAAACAAAAGTCGCCTGTGAAACCTAACACAGATAATTACTGGGGCGCAGTTGCCAATATTGAGTCGTTTTGGGATGCCTCCATTCGGTCGATATGCTCACGAATGGAATCGGAACTACGGTTAGGTGTAGTCGCTGATAACTTGTCTCCGCACAGGGATAAAACAGATTGCCGTTGCAAAAATTGCCTGAGAAAAAGATCGAACCAAGGCGGCTCCAAAGCGATACACCAGAAGGACGAGCAAAACGAGGACCAGAAATCGCCTGAATTGTGGTGGGACAAAACTGCCGGTACTGAATACGAATGGTCCTTGAATTACGTGAACGATGTGAACAATAATACTCCGAGCTTGTCGCCATGTGAACAGACCAATAAATCGGATGAATATGTTGTTGTTGACCTTAGCAAAGATGACGTCACCCGGAAGTGTGAAAATGCGGAAGGGAATAACAATCCTGGCGATGAGAAAGATACATCCGATGATTTTTGCGAAATATCGATTTCAAAAGATTCTAATGTTTCAACAAAACGCCGTTTACTTCCCGTTGACTGGGATTCCATACAACAAGATGGCGAAAACTCCAAAGAACAGAAGACTTTGGATTCCCAAACAGAGCAACCGCCTCCCAATATTGCAGAACTCGATAAAGCCATTGTTGACCATGGTCCTCTGACCTCTGACCCGCACACAATGCCCGAAGACTTGCAAGCTTCGATATCATTTACGCTTGAAAAGCTAGGCTGTAAGAAGCGAATAACCAACAAAGACTCATCACCGATGCCTAAACAGGGCAACTCTGAATGCGGCAATATTGAGGCAATTAAAAATAAAGCGGAGTCAAATGGGCCAGCTCGTGAAACGGTCCGTACTAGTTTCAAACAACAGCAGATAATTGGCAGTAGTTTGACAAACCGATCGCTGTCCAATCCATGTATAAGTAATCTCGACTACGTTGGTAAACAACTTGCAAAAGCTGGGTCAATTAGAAGGACTTCCTCATGCCCAGATATTTACTGTAAAATTAAGCTTGAAGCAGATGAGTCGGATACGCAGCAGAATAAGTCACTGGTACTCGAGGAATTTAAGTTTGGTGATTTATTTCGTCGAAGAGCTTGTGCTGTAAGCGGATCCGTTTCAGATCAACCTTTCATAAAGAAAAGTGACAAGCGTGAGAATACAAGTCAGAATTATTTGAATAACAGGAATTTCTATGACGCCTCGAAGCCAAGAGTAGGGGCCTCCAGCCTGAGCGACAATGAACAACTGCGTACTAAGGATAAAGCTAGTGAAGGAAAATACACTCAGAAGAGGAGAGATGGAGTTGGTTTTACACAAAAGCAGGCATGCTGGTCGACGGAGCCGGTGGCGTTTATAACTATGGGGGCTGACAAACTTTCAGTGTCAAAATTGGTGAATAAAAACTTATCTGCGACTAAATCACTTATTGATAAAGGATGGGCAACAACATTTCTACAACCTGTCGTCAGCGCAAAACAACAACATGTGCGGCCTTTGTACTTCAACAAAAACGTCTCCACCTATCCAAGGAGACTGGATAACGTAAAACACGCTGGCGTTAGCCGATATGAACAACGAAACACGCGTTTTGTACCTTTGCCTGTGCTACTAGCGTGTAACACGAACACAATCAGCGGGGCAAAAAGAAGAGCTCGTGCGCCTCACAGACGCCGTTCAACTAGTCACTTGCATCAGTCGCTTTTATCCAAACGTGAACGTCATTATAGAAGTAAACAACTGGCGGCTTCGTTTTTACAGAACTCAGAAAATGACCGAAATTGGACGTATCCTTCTCATGAAGAGAAACGAGTTCTGTGTCCAGTCAATGAAACGTATTTTAGAGAGGTATGTCAGATTTGTTGATTTGGGCAGTAAAAGTCTCTAATTGATTGCAAACAATGTGTTATTGTTTTTAATGGAACTTATATTTCACTCCAAACACGACCCTGTGCAATCGGCCACTGATATCTAACTGTATGCACGAGCACGAGCAACTCTTTTCGAAAAGACCGGTTCGGCTTCATTTCACCCTGGATGAGATGAGGGCATCAGATTTGAAACCGAAATGTGTACTTTTCTGTGTATAAACTTAGGTTCATGTATATATGGCAATAAATACTTGTCGAGTCAACAAAAAATCATTTTAAAGAGATATTGATGATATGAAATACAAAAGCGAAACGCATTAAAGTAAAAAAATATATATAATAATCTTCTGTGCATACTACTCACGTAGTTCCAAATGTTTCATTTCTTGGATTATCGGTCTTTTGATGTCAATGTGGGCAGTTATTACAACTACTAATTTATATGAAACGTTTTTGAATGTGGTATCCATTTAATTTTAACAGAGATTAAAGGCGCATACGATAAATCAAAGATTGGTGACGATACAAGAAATTGCAGATGAAACCAAAGAAAACCCAACGGCTCCTGCCAATACTTTGCAGGGTGAGTGATGCTTAGTTGTTTACACGGATTTTCAGTTTCTAAAGTGAATTTAAATTGAGAACATAACTTGGAAGATGTACTGTTCTATTTTGTTACGTTGTATACTTAGATTAGGTATATCTGGATACTTCCGATAGCACGGAGAAACTGGTTTACGATTCAGTATATTGTACTGCAGAAACTTGTATTTATTATTCTAAACATTACACACCGTTTGTATTGGATACAGGAGCACATACGATGCTAGCTGAACTCTGAGTCAACTCCAGTCTACTCTGGAATGACCTTTAACCCTAACTGATAAATGTTAAAATTCCTAGTGGCACTTATCTAAATAGGCTACTAAACAATAGACTTTCCTTTTGTATCTTATAAATCCAATCGAAAGTTTCAATCTTGACTTGCTCTTACCTTGATACAACATTATTTGTCCTCTTCAACATAACACTCGGTCCGTATTCTTCATAGATTCAGTGCCAAACCTCGAGAATAATGAAGAGATTTCTATTGCTATCACCTCGGAGCCAATCCAGCCTTCAGAATCAATCGCTACAGAAGAATCGAAGCCGTCTGAACAGATCACAAACGGATCCCAGGGTAAGGTGAAACGCTCGTAAAGTGTTGCACGTGTTGATACAATCGATTAAAAGTAATGTTTAATAATTAACTAAGAAGGCAATTTAATCGTATTTTAAGTAGTTAGTGCGCCTCCCCCTTTGAAATGTAAGAAAACATTTTCCCGTGTCATACATTGTAAATTTTCGTAGCTTGAATCGCTTTTTAGACCGCCAAGATTCTTGTTAAAAATCCATGTTTTTCAGCCTTCGCCCGGACTCGCTAGCTGTTGCGGTCTAACTTGGCAATTAGAAATTTCAACTCTAAACCCCTTCCGCTCACCTCCAACCTCAAATTGAAAATTGCTTGTCTACGCCGGGCCTTTCAAAACTATAGCAGTTACTTACATAACAGTGGCTTCTTAAACAGAGCTTCGTTCGAAGAGGAAGGTGTATAAATACGTTATCGTGTGGCTTAGAATCCTTAGATGATTATTGAACGTTTTTTCGTATTTCTCAGATAAAAAGAAAACCAGTTTTTTGAGAAGAATCATCAAAAGTGCAAAAGCAAAACCACCGAGACAAAAGTTTGCTTCGAATAAACAAGATGAAAAAGAATTTGGCATATTCAAAGGCATATCAAAGAAATCGTTCAAACAAGGCATGAAAAATTCATATGTTAATATTTATTTAAATAATTTACTTGTAGTGCACGAATATGGAGTGCAATCCAGAAATTACCTAAACTGGAACTGCCATGATATATATTATTTTTTTTTTGCTAAGATCAGGTATCTATCTAGCTATCCGGTGTGTTTAGGTGATTCGGCTTAAACTGTTGCGATAGGTTTTGCTTTGTTGTTAGGTTATATTTTTAATATTTGTTTGTGTTACTACGAAGATGAGCACTAGGCTTCAGTGAAACATCTCAGTGAGCATCCCGATAATCTCGCAAAATGTATTTTAAAAAAGAGCTAATGGCTTTGAGGCTATGAACTTCTCTTTTAATAGTCTTTAATATTCAATACATTTAAGATCGCTCGCGAGAAAGTAAAGTCAACAAAAAGAGCCGACTTTTTAGAAGGCACACTAAAAGTGATGCAGTTAAGTCCACCGAGGAAGGCGACGTAAACGGGAATATTCCAGCAAGAACCAGTTCGGTGATAGAGAGACGCGATCATCTTCCACAAAACGAGAGAGAAGAGAATTTATTGAGAGATCCTGGTAATCAAATATACCCCGATCCGAGTGGACCAAAAGGTGATAAAAATCTACGCAGTGCTCTATACAAACCAACGTTTCTTTGCATGGCTGCTATTGAAGCTCAAAATTCAGGTGCAAAAGGTGGAAGAGCAATTACTGAGGAAGATGAAAATTTGTTTGGGTTAGTTTCTGATGAAGTAGAACCGCTTCCGACATCGCTTAAAAGGAGAAGAAATAAACAACACTCTTCAGCAGCGACACCTGGTGCTAGAATAAATTCTGAAACTGGTGACGTGTTGGAAATGTCGGAAATAAGATCCGTTGCTGCGATGCTTAGCAGTACGAAGATTCTTGAGTGTGAGAGTCCATTTTCAGAGTAATCGGATAAAAAAGGTGCTTATATTTTCATTAGTACTATTATCGATGTGTTTCATTCGGTAGTAAAAACTCTATTTGATATTGTGTTGGCGTCTAAAATCGTTTTGATTTAAAATTGATGCGAGTATTACCATTCAGGTTGTTTTCGCAAGTGGTTTTAGGAAACTTTAAGACTATATATAATATGATTTTCAACGATACTGTCTTGTGGCTGTGGTCATAATCGCCGTCACTCGACTTGTTAACTGCTACCAACGAGAAGCATTCCAATTGCATAACCTTAAAAGTTGTTACACTAGACTTAACCATTCTACAATTAAATATAGCTAATTTTATGGAAATTCTGGCCTTTATTGACGATGGTTTTTCAAACAATTCTATATACATTTTGTCCTGTTCATGTTCCGATATGTTGTATTTTTATGATTCGCAGGTGTTTCCATTTCATATATTCCATTTTTTTTTGAGTATATTTCTTCACTTGTATGTGGTGGTTCCCGTATAGAAAGCAATACTTCCACAATATCCAAATACTTCCTAACATTAATGTAGCGTAACTTCTCCCTTTGTTACTCTAATTTCACCGCATTTGAAATGCACGTATGTCTGTTAACAGTCACAAAAAAGTTCTCAATCGAGCCAAGAAGTTTTGAAGCGTGCGTTATATTTTTACATTTGGATTAGGCCGTATACTTTTGTTTGATAAATTCGTTGACTTAACAGTGTCGTTCACGCACTTAGTGTACAATACGATTGTTTGGATCCAAAATAAATAAAGCAATTAATAGGTTACCAGAGGAAATTCGTAGTTACATGCAATATTTTGTGATTTTTTTTGCTATTCAAATTTATGTGATTTCTTGAGTTTTGGGTGAGATTTCGCCACGATTTTGTGTGAACATATGCACTTGAATACAATAAAATGTTACTGGTCTTCGGAGTGTCAGTTTTGAAAATGTTTCAATGGATCTGAGACATAACTTTCTCACTAGAGTTTAGATAAAACCATAATTTAAACCTTGGTTCGTGAATTGCTGCTTGTAATAAAATTCGTTTAATTTTGAATGGAAGCGAAGATGCGTCTTAGCAGGTCTGAAGATTTTTTTGATATACGTCTTTTCTGCAAGTCTACGCAATCTCTGTACGTCTTATAGGACGACCATAGCGTAGTCAAAATGGGTTTTCTCGATTGGTCTTTCACGGTCGCGGAAATATTTCACCGGACGGCGATTACCGTTACGAAGAATTTTCTACTTCATTCTCGCTAGAAAATCAAACTTTCATTGAATTTGTAGAATTTTTGTTTTAAACGTTTCGGCTTTTGATTTGGTGTTCGACGTTTTGGCGGCGGCTGCACACTTCGGGAATTTGATTATACGACTTTTATATCATGTGTGGTGACAACCAATGCTTCGCAACAGCTGTTACACGTTGTCCTCTCAAGCAGAGGCAATCCGGAAGTTGATATAACGAATGATTCTCTGATTCAACGTGTTATCTGTGATACTCATAACATCAAAATGCAAGCCCAAAATTACATCAAAGTTTTTCGATTCAGTTTTAATAAAAGTATACACTTAAAATATTATACATGAGGTAAAAGTCATTACAAACCCCTCAAAATTGTACGTTTGTAACTTGGTAACAAATAAGTATCGGGACGCTCAGAACAAACTTTAGAAATGCACATTTCTTGTAATTTCACAACTGCAAAACAATAAAATCGTCAAGGTATGGCTTCACCGGATAACTGCCTATGCCCTGCGTCTGCGAGGCTTGGTAGTTTGTGATATATAATCATGAAAGCTCAAAACAACATTGAATGTGTTTGATAAAATAAAAATGCTTAAATAAATTAGTGTTGTACAGAAATAATATTAAGAGATGTACATATGGATTGCTTTTTGCACTATATTGCGTTTGAAAACTGCAGTGCAATAGACTCTGGCGCTTCATTCTGGTTTCTCGTTTAAAGCATAGTGGAATGACTTTTTATTTAATTTGAGAATTTCAATTGTAGCCGCTTGCAATAGAATTTGTAAAATATTTTATGCTGATAAACTGATGTACTCAGAAATATTTTAATAAAGTTTTTCTGGTATAAAATAGGGGAATCATAACTATTCGCTGTATATTATATTCTGTTTAACAACTAGGATAATTCAGGGAGCCGACTTAAGAGCCCTCTATAAGAACAAAGTGTAATACTGATTATTGTTAAATTGTAGGGATTTTTGAACTCAAAAATATTGTCTATGACGCACAATGGGTCTCGTCTATTTCAATCGTCGTATACTTCAAAGTCGTCAGCTGCAAAAATTGACATTAGATTAGTTAAAACGCTAAAAATGGATAGTTTTCATTGTCACGGGATCACAAGCACTACCAGACATTGGGACTCGTATGACCCGAGTTATACGTTCAATGGCGACTTCAGGAGGTATTCTTTTCATGCGATCGAAAAAATATGACGCTGCCATATGACAGAAAATACTCTTATATTTTACAAAATCTTTCATTGCGTTTGGCCATTCCACCCACAAACCCATCTTGAAATCTGTGTATTTATATTAATATATTACTTACGGTATCTACAGTTTGTTCCTTCTACTATTTGATTGCCGAGATTGATATCACAAACAACATGGTTGTTTGAATAATCTTGCTCAGGAACAAGTAAATAGGGATTGGAACGAATCTAGAAATAATATTTAGTTATAGTATTATAATTATTATTAGGTAAATAATCCCATGGTTTTGAAGTGTTTCAAGATTTCGGCTGAAAAAAGCATTGTGTGTTATCGTAGCTTCAAGCAAATAATAATGGCATATTATGACAAATACTAGGCACATGTTCAAGCAGGGGTGTAACAAACTTTTCTGCTGGCCGGACAAGTTTCTGACAATGATGCCCCTTATACCTAACTTACAAATGATGAAATGATTAAATCATTAAACTAAGCAACAAACTCACATCTATAGGCCCTCACAACGTTCTGCCCCTAAGAGTTACCAGTAATATGTCAGATATTGGATTAGATATATGTTTTATACCACGCTTATCCACACCTTTTGCTCTCAACAAAGGCCCCTGGTATCTAATGATATACAGGGAGCAGTGGCATATCTACGTAAAATGGCGACCATGGCCAAGTTCAAAAATGCACCCTCTGGGTCGTCAGTTGATAGTTTTATCAACGGTTGTTGTTGAAATGAGATACCTGTACGTCATTACTTAGGTAAAAATAAGAGTTTCAAGTATTTCTAATTTGAAAATTATTTTACCGGATATTTTACGATCAAAACTTTTCGCTCATGTTTGCGCACAATCCAAACGGGGCCCATGGCGCGAACCATAGCTGGCATACCCTAGCTATGCAACTAGTTGGGAGCTACACTGTTATGTAATATGTTAACAATTCACTATACGTGATTTGCAGAATCCAAGTCAAAGAAAACATGGTTTAAATGCAGCTCAGCCACACAGTTTTTTATGAGTATATGCGTTATTGAGGGGACACAAAGCTTCACATATTTTGAAAGCAATTGGGATTTCATAATTTATTTAACATCCTACCTCCAGAGTATACGGTCCAGATGGAACATTTGTGACATCTATCCACTGGCAGTCTAATTTGTTCCTGAATATGAAAAAGTTTAATAATTAACAATGTGAGAACTACGTAATGATATTTCTTAATAAAATTATAGCTTATGTAGTTAAAAATTAAAAAATAATTTTTGTTCCAAATAACGAATTTTTTTTCGGAGCCTTTGGTTATTATGAGCTCGCAAGGGCAACCTTGAAATATTTTGCAACCCTTCAATCTCGCAACCGTGGACCACCGTGCTATAGACATTCACTCACATTCTACAAGGTGGCATATAGTCTTGCTATAAATCGATGACCATTTTAATTGGTGACCGTACATTTGAACCCACGTACATGTGAATGTGTATATCCGCGGGTTCAATCTATATGCGTGTGCTAAAACCCATGGGTTAGGGTTAGTATGAGTTCAAATATCCGTAAGACAAAAAAAACTTACTTATTCACTTTATTCCACTTACTCGGACAAAAACGACTTACGTGTAATGATCGGAACAACCAATCGAGATTCCTTGGTCTCCATCACGAATCAGAGGATGGCAGTTATATCTCTTCCTTGATCTATTCACACAACTGTTATCTCGGAGGCAAAAACTGACTTTGTGGCCAACCCGGACCACATTACCATCATCCTTGGAACGTAATTCATATAAGGCAAAGTCAGTGATGCTGTGATAATGCCTAAAAATTATAATGTACTTTGATCTGTAAAATGTTATCTGTACAGAATTCGAAAAATTGCTTCTCTCGCAAGCATATTGGTTTTGGGCTTCTCTCAGTGAAGGATCCCGCGGCACCCGATATTTCACGCCAGCTCTCGCTCGTTAATTTAATTTGTCGGTACACTCTCATGTGGTATTCGGTAGACTTCTTCTAATAATAAGCCTGGAATTTTGCTAACATTTTGGTGGGCATGCCAGTCATTTGACATTCGTGTCCTTGTTTTTGAGTATTTTGAGCAAGCCTTCGATAATGAAAACGATTACATTTAGGTCTTTCTAAATTATTCATGTTAGTGAGACCAATAGAGACCAGATATTTCACGCCAGATTTCGCTCGTTATCAAAATTTGTTGGTACCGCCTCGTACGATACTCGGTGGAAGTTAATCCGGGATTCTGTACAATTTATTTGATTTATAAAATTTATATCTCTAAATATATAGATTGTATTGCCTTATTTACGATGTTGTGATTGGGAAAAACACGCTTTTCTCCGCAAAAGACAAAAGAATATCGAATTTCCAACACTTAAAGATAGAAAGGTCTTGCAGGACTCGAGTTTGGCTGCTTTTATATTCCGCACTATTACATGGTATTCGGGACACCTTCATATGACATTCGGTGAAATTCTTTTAATAAGAGCAATTGATTGGAATTTGGCTATATTTTGCATTGGGCTTGTTGGACATTCGTGTCCATGTATTTGTACTTGAATATCGGACGTTTCGTGCAAAATGAAAGCAGCGTTGTCCTATCAATATCTTATATTCAAAAAAATTGTATCATTTGGATCTAATGATATATTGCAAGAATCGACAAGAACATTTAGGTTAGTCGGAACCTATACAGTTACTGAAATGTTGGAACTTCGGCCCAGAAGAAGCTATGAGAATCAGAGCCATGCAGAAGAGTCCTACTACGGCTCCATTGTTGGTGATTCCAAGATCAAACGGCATGTTCCCCATAGTAGCCTACTCAGGATGACATTAATTGGATGGGCTATAACGAGTCCAGCCTTTCCCAATCAATACTATCTTTGTATGTATTATTGGCTTTTCGTACAGATCTTTGCTCGGATCACCACTTACTTGTGACATTCATGGAAGTGCCAGAGGTTTCTCATACCAGGTGGTCTGAAATCAGCGTTCCCAAAGTTTTGCACATAAGATGAAAATACGAGAAGCCTCCTGACATCTGTGCTTGATTTGATCATCACCTTAGTCTTATTCAGACTTTCTTCTCCCATACATCCCTCTTCCCCTGGAAAAAGTTCAAAATTTAAAGCTACTAATAATTTGGCTCATATTTGAGTATAGCGGGTACCCATAAAGTCCCGTTACAAAATCAATTTTGTTATAAAGTCAGTTCTCAATATGTCTTAACCAAATTTGTTTTATTTTAATACGCGCTTATTTCAGTTGCTATGTTGTTTTTACTCAGTCCACTTCAAGATTCATACACCACTCCGTAATTCGGATTGACAAAGTTAATCAACCTTCAATGAATACAACACCTAGACTACTAATATGTCTTTAATCACATTAACGGTAGCCTGGATAGATTAGGTGGTTTCTTCCGTGGATAAATATGGAAAAATCTAGACTCTAGAATCTAGAGTCTAGATTCTGTAGAACAGCGTTTCCCAAACTGTGTTCCGCGGAACACTAGTGTTCCGCGAGCATCTTCGAAGTGTTCCGTGGAAAAGGAATAAAAAAAACGTCTTAAATAGTCGCCATGGAGATCTATGGCAGGGCTTCCCAAACTAGGGGCCGCTAAACGAATTTTAAGGGCCGCAAAGAGAACACCGATTTTACAAAACATCAAAATCGCATATTTCGGACTGTTTACCATTATTAACGAGGACAAGGGCCGCGAAAATTTTTAATATATATCTATATTGAAAGGGAACGCGAGCTCAAAAGTTTGGGAAGCCCTGATCCATGGAACGTGAAGTTGTCGCCCAACTGACCGTTTAATATCGCGTCACCGTCGGCCCAAATCGTACTAACTGGAGAGGGATAGTGGCATTTTCGATAACTGTCTGCCTAGCTTTTTGACTGTTAAGTTCATTATCAAGTTCACAGCAATCATTTTGGTTTTGCTATGGGCAAACGAGTAGATCTAAAGAATAAAGGCAAAGGGTCAACTCTTCTTCCTCCATCTCTGCCTGGTTTTACCTGAAAAATTACTCATTTTCGCTAAACTCTATTAAGTAGATAAATGCAGCAAAATTGCAGCAAGTGAAATTGCAGCAAGTACTTCTATCTCCATTAGACGTAACATTAGAGGCAAACACTACGTAATGGAGAGTAAACGACATAGAATAGTAAAATGAATTTATTAATTCATATACACACCATTTAAAGTAAGAAACAATAAAAAACATTAATAATAAATGCAACATGTAAAATATTCAATCCTATTAAAGTATTTTAACACAATTCTGTTAGTATTCGCCGCGCATTTGACAACATTTTCTTTATCAATTTTACCCTTTTATTTTTTGGTGTTCCGCGAGGCGAGATAAACAGTGGAAGTGTTCTGTGGCCGAAAAAGTTTAGGAAACGCTGCTCTAGAAGATACATTATTGGTCAAAGAGAAAGTCTTTTACAATATGTCAGAAATAAAACGATTGAAATTTGATTACGAGTTAGTAAGTACCTCTCACAGCGTTCAAAGTTTGCCATTACGTGAGTGAGGATTTTGAAACTGAAACTTTGTCACCTAACCGGTGGCCATTACGTGATAATAGTACTGGCTAACTAACTCAACAATATCTATACTGGTACATAATTCATGATTAAACGTTCGCAGAGTTTTTTTTTTTTTTCTTCAGCAAGATAAGTACGATATTCTAATTAGTCCAAATTAGTGCAACGAATTTTTCAACTTTTTAAAAACTTCTCCTTACATGCACACTCCATCCTGAACTCTGCTTTGTATTTCAGTTCGATTGAATTCTGAAGTCTGGTGATGTTGACCATAATATCTGGAGCATCTGAATGAAGAGTTAAATAGTATGATATTTCACACAGACTCAATACAATTCACGCAATAAATACAAACAACACTTGAATATATTATATTATCAAACATTACTTCAATTAACAACATATATCTGTATATCGCTGTATCAGTGTGAGTTTCAAAAAAATCCAAAATTAAATATATATTTTTATCCTCTCAAGACATTTAAATTAAGGCAGTGGTTCTCAAACTTCTTGGTATTGCGACGCCCTCCGAAAAATATGATCAAGTTGCGACTCTCCGTGAAAATCGTGTTGATGATACTTTTTAATAAAAGACTTTTTTTGGAGTGAGTTTTATTGAAATTATGCCAGAAGAGAACTGCGTGGTGTCGATATTGAGTCGTTCGAATCAAGGCGTAGACGAAGTGCTGAACGTCGCTCAACATTGCTCGATATGCCCATGTTCACGAAAGGATTAGAAATGAATGATATGCATGACTCGAGCTGACCCGACTCAGTGTTTGTGATGTCATAATTGGGACAGCATCAAATGACCCGTGACATTAGTGTAGTCACATATAGATAAACTTGATCGTTACCATAATTAATAAATATATCCAGATTGATATATCCATCCATTATTACTGTATTAGTTTGAGTGTTTTAAAAGTATAACAGCACGAAAGTTCAATACATTCGCGTATTTTCTGTTTGCTTATTTCTGGCCCAAGCTTCTCTTCAGAATTCTCCATTTTGAATTTGCGTATATGAAGTTTTTAAAATAAACTATCTATCTAGCTATCTCTGTGATGGGGTAGCTAATTCTAACTGAAAGTATTAGTAAATGACACAAAAAAAATTCCGATTTTGACTAAAGCTCTCAATAGAAAATTCACAAAAATTGATTTGGCTCTAGCTTTCTACTCCGTAGAAACATAATTGAGATCACGGAAAGTTCTTTGTGTTTTCTATTTTGTGACAAACAATCTGGTTCTCTCATTTTATGAGAATGTGATTGGTCAAGGATCTTGTATGTATCGACACACTGTTACATTAAGTTTTCTCGCTCATGGTCGAGTGTGACTTTTATTTAATCAGGCGTTTGTAAAATGTGGCACTCCAGAAGTGTGTGTACCAATATAGAGATAACTTATTTTGTTCGCCTACTTCACATCAAGTTGTGTAAAGTGATGGAAGCGTATGGGCAGAATATATTCACCTTGCTAACACAGACAGTCCTCGAACTCGTAATAGAACTGAAATTAAAAAAAAAAAACGGGATAAAATTATGACATAACCCTAACCTGGTACACATACTACGGAAGTACTTAAAATCTCTCGTCAACCAACATTTGATGCCTCGTAATTCACCAGAATAAATTTGTAGAATTCAGTATACCATTAACATTTCTGTGATCGCTTGTACATTTGTCAAAAGTTGAGTCTCTTGTACTTTCAATAAAGTGCGAATGACCTCACATTTGAAAAAGTTTCTTCAATAACACAGCGAAGCCCAAATATATGAAAACAAAGTCCAAAACGCTGTGGTACGAGTATACAATCGGTCACAATAGACCACCGGTACCAGCTGTCACGATGTCATATATGCTTGGAAGACAAATATCACGATGTCCTAAACATATTCCCATTATTAAAAATCATACAGCGCATTTTAGGTGAAATATCAGATCTCACAGAAACATCAGGATTGAATAAAAGTAATAGCCGTCTAGTGAAAAATACAATCTTTACTCACTGAAAACTCCAATGCGATTGGTCTATTAGTGAAGGAGAAAAGCGGTTTTTCATTTTTCATTATAACAAGAAAAAAACAAGAACAACAACATAATAGCAGTACGATTCATAGGTTCACTTCGTGTTCAATGAGAGCTAAACTCACATATATCACAGACAACGGTGGCGTATTCATCGCATCCATTGACAAAATCAATTCCGCATTCCTGAAGCGAAGATTCCTTTCCTGTGCAAGGTTTGAGAAAAACAGCTGATGGGTATGTGACACCTATGTCGGGTGATTTTCTCGAAATCTGAATAAAAGGAATTTCATTTTTAGTTGGATTTTTTTTATGTAGCTGTAAGTCAATCAAAAGTTTTATGAATCTATATTTAATTTTGGAACTTTGAATTTATTCGATTGGGTTCTTGAAGGGCGAACTAACATGGGGCACAGTGGAAAATCAGCTATCACACTGATACTATATCCGCAATCCTGTCCGCGGCTCGATGTTCCAATCCGCCCTTCAGTGAGTTACAACGTCCCCGCGAACGAACAACGGACGGGTAGATTGGCGCAAGCTATGGGGTGAAATTGGTTTTGGGAGGTTGAAAAAAAAATTTCACCGTTCCAGTTTTTTCTTTTTTTTAATTTAGCCTTTTTAACGAGACAAATTATCGTCTGATATTCTTTAGCGTCAATCCACTGTAAAATATTCCTAACGTTAGCGAGTGGCTGTGCCTTCCGAATTTTGCCGTGGGATGGTCTGAAAATATTTGTTTCCTATGGGGAACAATGGACCGGGGTTCAGTGGGACATGCTCTACAGGGCACAATTCGACAGTGTTTGATACAATAAGTGCTTAGAGACTTGGAGATGCGTTATATTTTGTGTAATATAATGGTTTCTTTCGACCCATGGCCCAATATGGAATATATTCGAGAATCAATAATATTTCCAGATTTAGATACTAGGAAGGAAATAATCAATTTTTTTTGCAAAATGTTTTGTCAAAATATCTGAACTATTTCAGTTGAACATTGATTTTAAAAATATTAAATCTTCAAATTCGAAGTCTCCCCGTACTTAAGACGATTATGCTGATTAATTGCTTATTTTTAAGGGCATACTTCGCTGAATTTTGACAGACTGACCCATTGTGCCCCAGGGTCTGTCCGATTGTGCCCCACAAGTGGGGTACATTGGGACACTTGACAGACGTTTTTTAAAGCATTTTGGTAGTAAGATGTGTGTCGCAAGGGAATTTCTTTGTTGCTGAATAAAAACTACATTTACCCCTCTATGCATTAGTCCCGCAAACTTAAGAGAATATGCAGAATTAACGGCTCAAAATATGCAAAAGAAAAAAAGTGTCCCAACCTTCCCCACTTTCCCCTATTTATCCATCTTTGTAAGCTTCTGCGCCCATGTATTCGTATACTTATAATGCATGGATACTGTAGCAATAGTGAAGATAACTATATTAATGTGACGTTTCGTGTGACTGTAGGTTCGCATCCCATGAGGATAATTATGAGCAGTAGAATTGCTCCTCGCCGCCGTAAGGTGATTCGCGTGACCGCTGGTCGGTTGCGCTTCCTCCACCCTAAAGTCATCTGGAACTGATAACTGGCTAACGAATCCTATACCCAACATGGACGGGTAGTCTGGGCGAGATGCCTTGCTTTGCTATGAGCTTATCGGCTTTCCTCTCCCTCGAGATAATTATGTAAATCCTATCCTATCTCAAATCAGATTTGTCTGAACAAACATAATGAGCCAAATTAGAATTTTCTTGTCTTGATTTAGCTCCAACTCTGCGATAAAAAGCGCAAAATTAGCTGAAGTGGCGAAGAGAGATTGAATAATGTTTTTCATACGCAATGTCGCAATCACCATTCGTAAAAGGCGGTGTCAAACATCATTGATTCCCGAAATTAGAATTCGTTAAAGTACACTTAACACAAACAATTATTTCTAAAATAATTTACAACACTTGCCTGTCCGACTAGTTTCGCGTATTTTCCAGCAGACTGCCTGCAAGCAACAATCGCTTCTTTGCTGGTGAAAGTTTTATTGCAGATTGGATACCTCTCCCCTTCATGTTCGACCAAAACGATTTGATATTGAATGCCAATCAGTGCTTCGGTGAGGACAATCTGAAGAAAGTATTTTGTTGTACATAGATGTGTCGAATCCGTGTTCACATTTTTGGTAAATTGACTTGGAAACTTTTATATGTTAATTTACGAAGGTTCCCTGATTCAGGCATTCATTAGGAATGCAAACTCAGAGCGCAGTTACTTTCTCAACTAAGAACAGATTTGCAAGCTGAAGAAAGTATTTTCGTTTTTTATTATAGGTCTCAAATGTTCACATTTTTGGAGTTTTTTTTACTAAAATCCCATAGGATGTCTCCATACCAATGTGTTCTAATATGGGCCATTTGAAAAAACGCACATAAATATCGAATTCTATCGCACTTATGCAGCTAACAACAGATTGATTGCGATCTGGAAAAGGTATTTTTTGGGTACTCCTGTAGTATGTGTACCAGGTTGGGGTTAAGCCATAATTTTATTCTGATTTTCTTTATTTCAGTTCAATTACGAGTCAGGGACTGCCTGTGTTAGCAAAGTGGATACATCCCCTGCGGCCCTGTCCGTGGGCCGTAGGTTTCATTCCATTTACACAACTTGTTTTAAACTAGGCGAACAAAATTAGTTACCTCCATATTGGTGCCGTTTTTTGTATATATAAAAGTCTTGGCTGCATGTTTGCTTTACAGAAATTAATGACTTTGAAATACGTAGTTCGATCGATGCTCAAATATATCGACACGACGACCAAAACAAAGTACCTTAGGTACCTACCGGTATCAATTAATCTCCGAGTTTCGCGTAGCGTCGCGTTAAATCGGAAACGGTCGTCACCCTTGGCGAATTAAAAACCGTGTTTGCATGTAAACTAAAAACGTAGGAATATTCGGAGGAACTATCAGATCTCATAGGATTCATAGAAAATTCAGAAATAAATAAAAGCAATAGCCTCGTAGCAAAAAATAGAATATTTAACCACTAAAAATTAAGGATAAGGAGTAACAAAAATAATCCCGGGGAGAAAAAAGCCGATAGGACGGCTTAACCATATCGCGAACCACGGCCTCTCGTACGGTAACCATTCCATGTCAAGTATGGGAACAACATAATAACAAAACGATCCTTAGGTAGACTTCGGATCCAATAAGAACCAGAAACTAAAGTGATTTCATATAGATGATGACAGCGAATTCCTTTCTTAATATGTATCGTTTGCGGAAATGATTCACGAGTCCCAGAATTTAAACTATTAGTTCCACAGGCAGCATTTGTTGCTGTAGAAAGAATGAATATATATAGTCGACACCGTATTATTGTATGAATCCTTACGATTATTGCTAATGGATTTATATAGAAAACAAATTTAATTATAAAAAACTAAACAAGATGTATACAGATCAATCAATAACAATTTAATGTTATTTTTTACATAGTCTAAATGAAAATGGCGAGATTTTCCGTTTGTCTATATTAAATTTCTTACAACAATTGTAGTGAAACACAAAGTAAGCCGCGCTATAGCGGCAAGAGAGTCGGTTACTAACTGAAAGTTAAGGCCAGTCTGTCTTCTATCCAGTCAAAAAATTGTAATATTACACACTCTATGACCTAAATGGAATGACTCCGTACCACTGAAAATAACCTACCTTAGATATATGTCATATTAAGGTACTCTTTTTTAAATATGAGGAAACCCAATAGTTCTCTGCCTAATTGCGAATTTATTGCTGGTTTTATTCAAACTCGACAGTAACACTCTTTCGTAGTGCTGAGTGTGGTTAAAGACCGAATGACTACTATGTATTTCTGTTTCTGATAGGATGTCAGCTACCCACTACTGTATACCAATAGTAAGGATATTCATACGGATCCTATGAATTCGCGCGAACCAGATCTTGAATGATCGCGATAATCAGCGAACCCGCTCTTGTTTTTATTTTTTAGACCGGGGGCGTGCAACCTGCGGTCCGCGGCCAAATGCCGCCCACGCCAAAAAATTGTGCGGCCGCAGAGAAGTGCCAACTTGGAATGATGTGCGGCCCGCAAAACGAGTTTTTAAGTTAGGTAAATCTGGTACTTGTGAGTAATTCCAATCCCTCTGCGTTGCAAAGCCTATACTGAAGTCCATTTATTATGTATGTGTATGAAGTTTTATCGTGCATATACAATATGCCTACAACTCTTAGAAAGCCTATGTTAGAAAGATGCGGGCCTCGGTTTTCCCAATTATTTGTATCTGGCCCTGCTGTATTAAAGGTTGCACACCCCTGCTTTAAACGTTAGGCGGCCACAGTAAATATAGCTGATAACTAACTTCAATTTATGTAGCCTAAATCGCTTCACGTCAATATAGTTTACGTAGTAACATACATACATTTCCTGAAATAGGGAACCCCTTGTTAGTGATTTCATTAATCAGGTCCGATCCAATAAAATCTGAATGGGCTTACCGGTTAGCTATTCCCATACCCAATATGAAATGGCAATCGCCGATGGCTTGTCCATGGAAATCCCGTGGGAAACGTCACATGGGATGGGATGGGACTGCCCACATTTGTATTTCTCATGGGACACGTGGGACACAAAAACCGTATGATTTTCGGGGAAATGATGGTAAAACATTTCGTTATGAATTTCGTGTCCATATATTTGAGCAAAGTTCTCTTGTTAGTTATGAAGAACAAAATATATTCAGCATTAACAATATATTTCGTGCAGGGGCTGATGGAAACTTGTAAAATCGTTATGAATATAAAGTTAACAAAGTCTGTAAATTTTGTTGTTTTGCATGTCTCTTCGTATAAATGTAATCCTATTTAGTAGACGCTAAACCTAAATTTAACAATTATTATTGAATTTTTTTCCAATGGAAATCCCATGAGATGAGATGATGGCACAGGCATAATTGCTATGGGGTGGGAATGGGACAGAAAAATATGTACCACGGACAAGCCTGGCAATCGGACAATATTTTTAGGGTTGCCGTATCGTTATTTCCAGTGATAAGCTTCAGAGGCCTTGTGTGAAACTGTTCTTAAAATGTTTTGATAATCAGCAAACTCGACCTTGTTTTTTAAAGCTATGCATGGGTTTGTGAAATCAGGGAACGAAACGGAATGAAATAACTTACACGGCATCTGATGCGTTATATTAGGCGTTTTGGGAGTTATGTATTAGATTTATGTAACGCTTGTCATATTAATGCGAATCACGCAGCGACATACATGCATTTTCTGAAAGAGGCAACCTGTTGTTAGTGAGTTTAATACAAAAAGAACCCGTTCTGAAAATTTGGAATCCCATCACTATCTTACCTTATCTTTATCAGGATTAATAGGTTCTTCACAGACAACACCAGCTTGGTGTCGGTAGGAGCATTCTCTGATTTCATCGACATTCTCATACGATTTTTTTGCGATCTTTTTTGAGATTCGTACTCGTCTACACTCATGTAATGCGTTCTCTGATCCCGTACAGCGGACGCTTTGATACCATATCGGTCCACGAGCTGAAAGTGTAAAATATAGAAATGTAAGGTTCAACAAACATATCTGGATACCTAACGGAACTGGTCATTCATATGATAAATAAGTCTTATAAGTAGTGGCGTTCAACTGTTGTTGAATTGAGATACTTTTACGGATTATTTAGGTAAAAAATACAAGTTTCAACTTTCAATTGATTCCATGTTTAAACCATTTTGTTGAAACATTTCAAATTAAAAATTGTCGCCCTTTCTGCGCCCATATCCAAACGGAGTTCATGGTCGAAGCCATGGCTTCCATACCCTGGATACGCCATTGCTTATAAGTCGAAATTTCCTCTCCGGCGATGAATTAAAAAAAAAAACGTTGAAACAGGCTATCCTACACGTTATGACACATAATTAAATTAGGAAAATCAATTCAATCATATGATAAGTCTTATAAGCAGTGACGTATGTATGCAAAATGACGCACACGAAATTTTTTTAAAATGCGCCGCTAGATTCTTGACTGACAATTATTTACTGCCGTTGTTGACTTGAGATACTTGTTAATATTAATATTCTCGTAAAAATACAAGTTCCAATGAATTCTATATTGAAATCATTTTAATGAAACATATTATACTATCAAATTTTTTCGCACTTTTTGCGACCCTATCCAAACGGCGCCCATGGTCGAAGTCATGGCTTCCATATCCATGATACGCCACTGCTTAGGTAAACTAATGAGTCTAAATTTGCTCTCAAGTGATGAATTCAAAAGCCTATTGAAACAGAATATCCTACACGTATTAACTGACACTTTCATTGAGAAAATAAAGTCGAAGAAGTTACATTTCATCCTTTCATACAAAAGTTTATTCATACCTTCTCCATAATATGATTCTCTCAACGCCGCAATTGCTCTTTCGTATCCTAATTGCCGACAAACAACGTTTGCTTCATTCATAGTCCAGTGATTAGAACATAAAGCTCCCCATCTCCCATCTAAGCTCACTTCGACTTTTCCTTGACCTACTGTCGGGCCACCTCGGAGCCTGATATTCTAAAATTGTTTGTATTTTTTTACCAAAGCCCAAAATGTTAATAAGGATAAAGTATATTTATGAAAGTAATTTTTTTTTAATCGCCTGACGTTCATTTTATATTGCATTTGAAGTGAAGGACTTAAGTTGAAGATAGTAGGTTTATCCAGTGTAAAATTAAGTGAGTGTAATAAATTGGGAGACAACGCCAAACTAGAAAGTTTCCGGTTCTTCCAAATAATAGTGGCCTTTTTGCTACTAGTGTCTGGATGGATTTCCTCTATATTTACGCATCCTAATCACTTTTGTGCTACATGCCGGATACTAAATGTATAGGGTGTCCATAAAGTCTTAAAAAAAATTCAATTGCAAAAGGAATTTATCGATACAATATAATGTTTTGGCTCTCGCAGATGTAATAAATGAAGTAAAAACACTTTAAATATCATGAGAACTGACTTCATAACAAAATTGTAAAGTGACTTTGTGGACACCCTGCATTTTAAATTTCTATATATTAGATTAGAATTGTATTGCCCAAAAATGTATTCAATGCGAAGTGCACTCGATATATATAATAAAAAAATCCTGTAAAAGGATGGCGATTACTCTAGTTTAAACTAAAGAATCCTATCTGGCCATTATATTCTAGACTTGATAGCGTTTCTTATCTTGATTTGAACATGCATTTTTAACAACCATGGTTGACATTTGACAAACGAGGTTGTTTCACAAAACAATCTCTATATACACATATCCACAAAATAGGGACATAATATCTTCAACGCCAGTGTGAAAAGAAAGAATATTCTTGAGAATTTGTTGATTTACTCACTTCAGCAGTTGGTTCTGCCGACCCTGGAGCATACTTTAGAGCTATCAGCAGAGCAATTACTCCCACACTCATAATACAATAAATAATGATAATTCCTTTTTAACATTTGTTGAATTCTGGATAAAAGTCTGCGAAGTGGTCAAGAAGCATAAGACTCAATAACATTTTAACTAACAATCAAAGGTGTGGCGTATCGCGCTGAGCGTTAGGAATACGCTGGCCACCACACCTTTGGTTACTCTGCAGGTACGAAGCCCATGCGGGAATAGTTATGTGCGAGCGGATTGCTACACCTCTTTTCCGTAGGATGGTTCACGTAACCGCTGGTTACGCCGGTTACTACTTCCTCCACCACCAAGTCCATGCTTCCGAAAAGCAAATAATCCCATACCTGACGTGGACTGATAACCGGACGATTGGCCATGGTTCGCCATATGCTTAAGCCGTCTTATCGACTTTCCTCTCCCCCGGGATAAATATGTAAATCATTTCCTTTCCTATCTTACATACATGCTAATAAATGAAATCAACACACAATAAGCTTTTTGAAAATTCAACTATTCAGTGTGATATTCACATCGAACAAGTCTTTCCGCAAGCGTTTATTAGAAGTGCCAATCGGAAATTATATTGATAAATTGTGAATGATTTATGCTAGTCTATTGATGTTGTAGTAATCCGATGTGTAGGAAAATGACCTGGTTTTATAACCACGAAATATAAAGTCACTTTGAAATTGGACATCATTTTTGTAGGTGAAAGCGAAAGTTAATTGCAATCGCTTCCCATAACAACACGGCGAAATCGACATTGTAATCTAAGAATAATTGGGTAAGGTGATTTATGTACACGTCAGATTCAGCCTCAACGCAATTCTTCAGTAGTGACATACGTATATAAAATCTCCTGTGTCGAATCTAATCAGTTCTAACAAGTGTTCAGCGATGTCGAGAAAATACGCTGAAAACCCTCCGAGCCAAATAAAGTACTTACTCTGGGAAGAATGCTTTCACTTTACACTAACTGTCTTCTTGTGGTCGACTCACTAAAAGGCGATATACTGTTTCACAATCTGTTTCACGATAACTTTAATTATAATAATAATCTAATCACTGCTTACTTAGCACTGACAGGCATCTGTCCTTTTCCAACAATTCGAAACACTCATATAATCAGATTATTAAATCCTGAACGGCTTCACAGCATGTACAGTGTCTGCAATCATATGAAAAAATATATGAGAGATAAGGAAATAATGACGATGTCGCTATTATTATTAATGTGTAGTATTCGTCCGATTTCCCACTGAACCGGTTAATTGTGTTCCGGAATGATTCATGTTTTCTCCGCGAATTGGGCTGATACTGAATTGTGGTTTGTACTGGATAAAGCGATGTTTGTTTACTCGCATTTTATAGTAACTTGAAATACATACTCATATATAGCTGTCATTTTGAAGGGTTGGTATCACATGTTGAAGAGTACTTCCGTAGTATGTGAACTAAGATAACGGACGCCGGAACGTAGTATGTGTAGCAGGTTAGAGTTAGGCCATAATTTTATTCCAATTTTCTTTATTTTAGTTCTATTATGAGTTCGGGAACTAGCCAAATTACTCCCGTAATATTTGTACCTGAAATTATGGCCCAACCCTGCCTTGGTACACATACTACGTTCCGGTGTCCGCCATCTCGGCCACATACTACGGGAGTACCTGTAAAAGAAGATCACGGATTTAAGACCCATGTCAACTACTTCACCCCGGGTGAAATGATCGTGTCGTTCCGTTTATCTTCGTGGTCTCCGCAAAAGTACTCCCCCGTAATAATTTTATATTTTCCAACTCGGAAGAATTCCTGTTTTTTAAATATACATTGTATCTTTTATATATGAAAAGTGTTTACGCATGCCGGGAGCGAAGGTTTGCAAGCCTATATATATATAATGAACAGCAACATATTTCATCCCTATTCAATATATATAAAGATAGAATTGTTCTTATCGGCTTAAGTTAGCTGTTTCTATCGGCGAATTATATTGCAACGAACTTGACATTGTTTGAATCCGGAGCTTCTTGGTGTCTTTCACAGCAACTTGGTGACACTTTTAAATGTATTCATTAGAAAGATAGAATATAGCCGTTCTTTTAGGCTTAAAGTGTGAGTTGGCTGTTTCTATTGGCGATTTATTCAAAAAAAATATTTATACTTCTGAATATAACGTGAAACCGCGAACAAACGAACCTGCCAGTGCTTGAATATAGCTAAACTATTTTTCGCCTGTAATATTCATATTTCTGGATTTAAAATCGGGTTTCGGGTCACCTTCATGCTTTATTCTGAGCAAACGAATAACGAACGGATTTCAACGACTGAGATGAATGAAGTTTAAATAACCTTTTTGACTTGTTTGCAGTTTCAAATACGTAACTGGCAGGGTTCGTGTTTGTATATACAACCACAGGTTTAAAACTTCAAAAATGTTACTCTTAACTACTAATCTCTGAAGCCTATTTTTTCAGCGCTCCGCTCAAACTAGCAGCTCTCTATAAAACGAAGCAGGTTTCATAACATTGAGCATAAACGTTCTAAGAATACGAATAAGCAGTTGCTACAAGACATGTAATGTGCCTTTGTGTGCAGTATCTCTGTCTAACATAGAACGGATCTACTATTACTGAGCTTCGAAACTGTAGAACTTGATTATCATTATCATTATATAATTTGCTTACGTGACATGCTTCACAAAGCATTGTCTGAGCATATGTGAAAGTAACAACTCCAGTTTCGCGCCTCTGGCGATGTTTTTGTTATTGACTTTTATGTAATCCTAATTTTGAATTATAAACCACAAATTCGCAGTTTAAATCACCTTGACGAATTCCACAAAACCGCTGATTCGATGTTCCAGTTCATGTCTGTTTACGTCATTATTTTCCTACTTGCATTAAATATCTGTAGTGTTTTCATCTCATAATAGCCACAGCATTATCGGTCTATACGTGTGAGTGAGGTTTTAGAGATTTTTTATACGACTCTTATCCACACGTTTCACTTTCAACAAGCTCTCATTAGCCTCTGATATCTACCGATATATCAAAGGCTACTATTATCTGGAAGGTCTTATTACTTATTATAATTGATTTACTTGTATAATTATTTATTTGTAAATATTATATAGTATTTTTAATTCGAATTGATCAATCAAAGACCACTGATGTTCTAAGCGCCATGAAAATAAAAACATCTGGTTTGCCATTGTCTATCCAATTTATTACACCTTGGATGAGATGTGGACCTGGGATTTGACTTGAGATATGCAGTTCACGATGCTAATACAGCCAAGTTCAACGCCTTAAGGCAGTGGTTCCCAACCAGGGTGCCGCAAAAATATTTTGGTATGCCGCGAAGAGATTTCATTTTTGAATTTATTTTAAGTGATTCCAATTTCCAATCCCTTGAATTTCACAAGAATTACCCCATGGCTCTTGCTAACAAACAAAAACGACAAATTTGCGGAGTCGTATTTCAGGTATTTGGGTATTGCTTTAATTCTAAGTTTCGCAAAATGCGCGCCAACACCGTTTCGTAAAATTAAAAATGTCAAACAAGGTAACAAATTATTGTGCAAAATTTTTTCCAAATTTAATCAAGGAATTATTATCTGACTATTATTTAAACTCAAAATTCACGCAATAACTTTGCAGGGTTTCTATACCCTATTTAATACGAAAATAAAACAGGTACAATAGGAACGTAAAATCATAAGAAGGTCAACTATCGTCTTCAAAATATCCGCATTTTGACATTTCGAATGTTAATATTGTTAGCTTAAAATTGGGACAGTTAATTTACAATCGGTGGGGTGAAAGATCAAACCCGGCGTAAAAGATAAAAATCCGAATAAAATCCCGAATTCACTCTATATCCGTCTTTAATTAAGCAATTTATATGAAAAATCGAAGCAAATTATATGAAAAATCGTGTAAATGTTAGAAAATATATTTACTCATGTGCATGTTTTAGTGAACATTTTTACCTTGTGACTGAAAGAAAAGTTTTTTGCTGTCTGTGCTCGATTAAATTTGAGCTCTCATACGTTTATTATACGAGTATCACATAGTCTAGACATATTTATGATATAAAAGTTATTTCAAAAAGTATCTGTATTTGGTGGGGAGTGAGTCGTAACCGGTCGAGAGGCCGTGGTTCGCCATATGATTAGGCCGTTATATCAGCTTTCTTTTCTTCGGAATATATACATACTGTATAATGTATATCCTACCGGCCCATCCCTATACACCTCAGGCCAATACAACCAATAACCATATGCTGAGCCATTTCCATTTTATTTATAAATTTATGTACCTCGCAGAAATTATTTGCATATCAAGATGTAATTTTCTGTTTTTATTTTTTGTTATTTAGGCGTAAATAAATATATATATATATATATAGGTATATGGGTTGATCAAACTGCAACAAAACATGTATTAGTGCTCGGGTACAGAAATTTGTGACTCCGTGCACTAAACCCTTCATTGTAACAACAAGTTCTGTTTTCACCAAGAATATTGGAATTCCGAGGTTGGAGGTTCGTGCAGCTGTTGGTTGCGATCTGTTTTGGTTTTGCTTCTGTTAAATCTTGATTGTAGCTTACCAGCAAAAATGTCTTTCAATCTTAAAGACGAGCTGTGCTTATACCTGAATCCACCAAATCAAGTTTATGAAATGGACGAACATTTGGGAGAAAAATGGCATATCTATAAGCGTGGATGGCAGGTATACGAACGAACTTTTACAGTTAAAACAAATAACAAGAAAGATCGAGTCCACCATTTCCTCAAATCAATGGAGAAGAAATTTTCTGATCTTTACTACGATTTCAAATGGGAACGCAAAGAAGATAAATATGATGTTGATGCGGTCATTGCCAAATATGACAACTATTTCAATGAGTGGACTGAAGCTCACAAAGAAAATGAAAATAAAGCTAGGTCTCGATTTCTATCAAGAAAGCAGGAACCTGACGAAACCTTACCACATTTCGCAAGTAAGTTATTGGTGTAAATTATTCAGTTATTCCTCCTTCTGTCCTTGTTGCCTAGCACTGTAGAGTACGATATTCGGGTTTAGTGTAGTCTAGTACCGCACCGGTAGTTTGCCCATGTCAGGTGTAAAGTTTTACTTCATCTTCTCAACTCTGAAAATTATGGATACTAAAATTTCCCCTGTCTGTCTAAAGTCTGTGCATGATTTTTTGCTTTCGGTAGACTTTGATTGGTTTGGCTTGTCCACTCTATTCTTAAAATTTGTAGTATAGAGATAAACGAAGTCCGTTTATCCTTGAAAAATCAACTATTCCTATACACAACCTGAACTAATTTGGATGCTGGAATGATGGCATTATTTTTACTGTATGAATATGTTATCCTTTGGCTTTATTTACATTGGAATAATATGAAAAACATCACAATCACAAATTAATAAGTATGGGAATTCTTGGTCAAATAATCATTCCACTCTCATTGACTTTATGGGGACTGCATTTATATGAGGGATCCTTCAATCAGAAGAATTTCACAAATTCTAGTTCACATAGCCTATTTATCCACCAACGTAATAGAACTCTCAAACTCATGCAGAGCAATCATAGATGCAAGAGTATTTAGGCTTAGCAAATAGTTGCATTTATATTGTTATGGAATTTTTCCAATAATTTATGTAGATCCTTGTAGACCAATGATAAATGTCATCGCTATCACCTGGTCAATACTTAACAATGCGCGCTAACTGCCAGGCCTTAGCAAATAGTTTGACTATATATTACTATTTTTTCAGCTGAACTAAGAAGAATGAGTATCTATTGTGGATTCAGACACTGCCGTGAAGATAAAATTCTCGATCAAACAATCGCTGGTATGAGTGATCCAGCTTTGCAGAGAAGATTGAGAAAGAACCCAAAAGATTTCCAAACAGTTATGACCAGAATTGAAAGTTGTACTACTATGTCTCTTCCCACTAAATTGGAAAAGAGTAACCCTATACCTGATAGGATTCGAAAAGGTTTATCTTCTAGATTAAAGAAACTTCTTGAAGACAAGGCAATTGAACCTGTGACGACTACTCTTCCATTGTGTAAGATTTCAAATTTGTATATCTCTACTGACAAAGCAGGTAAAAACTTGAGAATTTGTCTTCGTGCTGGTGATACAGAATGGACAGAAACTAAAATGGAGGATTCAAAAATTAGAAAAACTATGAGAAGTTTCCAACTAAGGCGAATCATGTATTTTTCAATTGTGAATATAAATTATGGACTCTGGGACGATTCGGATAAAAAATTATTCACAACTTTCAACACACCATTTGGGATTTTCAAGTGGAAACATATTCCTTTTGGTTTGAAGTATTCCTTCGAAACTAGAATGAAAAAAATAAAAAGCATGATACGGAAGATGGAGTGTTGTAAGATAATTGAAAACGACCTTATCGTGTATGGAATGGGTGATAATGAATTCGATGCCATTGTTGACCATGAAAAAAACTGTCGTGAAATGTTAGACAAAATTACGAAAAATAACTTGACTGTCAATTATAAACGTGCTAAACTAAAACAGAAGGAACTGACATACAGAGAAATGTCAATTAAAGATGGTTCTCGGGTGAATTGCCCAAATATTGATGCCTATCCCGAAATTGCCCCGATTTGTCTTATGATTATGAATTCGTAACTATTTTCATTTGGAAGTCTCGATTTGCAGACATATTACTAAAAACAAGTTTAAAACTGTAAATTAGAACAGATGCCCCTTCACCAAAAATTGCAAAAGGATTATAAAATTTGGGAAAAAATAGTTGTTTCTAAATGAGTAAAAGTTTAAGTGTTTTGGAAACCAATGCCATGAGTTTTTGTCACATCATGCTCCTTTGTTATTATTGTTGTAATGTTTCATTTAATGATTTAAATTCTTATTTTGATCAATGATGTATGCTTGAGTAAAGTACAATTTAAGTATTGTCCAAGCTTTAAACAACTTAAGTCAATGTTGATGTATTTTTCAAATTTTCCCGATTGTTCAAGTCGAGTTGCATGTCTCCTTTCCAATTTTCTGTAAGAGTACTGAAGTGTTTTTGGCAAACATGTTCTCTATTTAACCACAATTGAGCATGAGCATAATATTGTTTCAAATTATTAATGTAATAGTTTTCATACTGATATGAATATTTTATAATTTTTGTGGTATATCAGTGAGAAAGAGGTAATATGGTTATGCCATCAATGATATGCGAGTTGCTGTGTCCATGGTGAAGGACTTATATTGGTCTTATACTGGAATTTATCAAACTCTAAGAAGTTTGTTATGAGAATCATCTTAATTGGGATCCCACACTGCACTCTGAAAGCCAATGACATGCATTCATTTTGTGTTTGCTAAGATCAATATCGATACTCATTCTCTCCCTACCCGTTTTTTGACCCTCACTTCAGCATTGTAACACTGTGCATTCAAACAACACTCATAATATGGCTTTGAAGAGATCAATTTATTTACAGGGGTCAACACAAGTATTTCCAGAATTTGGTGGCCAACCCATTTGAAAATAGAAAATCTTCCTACATTTTTTTCTTATTTTATAATTTTTCCCTGATTTGTAAATACTGGTCTTAAAAATTTATTCTGATTGGCTTTTTTAAATGTTCCTGAATTCGTGTTTTTCATTATTATATACATACTTTCATTCTATTATCTTTTGCTCATTTCTTCAATAAGATGAAAATAAATTTGAATCTACTTTAGTAGTTTACCTTATTCTTCCACATAATATCTGACAATGCATATAAATTAAATCAGTGGTTCTCAAACTTTTTTCCTTCAGGGCCTACTTTGGCTGCAAAAAAAAAATCATGACCCATCAACTTTCTCATGTAAGGGAAAAACTACAAGAAAAACAAGAATTTTTTTTCGCAAAGATGGACACTTCGAATGATTAAAATGAGAATTACCATCCAGCCAAAGCAGCAGTAACATCCATATTAATCGTAGTTTGGCTAATTTATCAATAACTCTGGCCATGGCCCATTGGTTGAGAATCGGTGAATTAGGTAACAGTTCACATCCAACATGTCGTTTTTATCATATGTACTTTGAAATTTGTCTTCTGGTTGTAAAGTTTATTTTCACTTTTAAAATTTGTTTTCTATATTTCAATTCAGATGGTTTCAAATGTAGATACCCATTGCCTGGATTACATAATTTTATTATTCTACTTTCATTGTACAAAAATCTTGTTAAATATATAATTGATATCAAAATGTATTTTGTTTAAATAATCCATGAGAGGCATCAAAAACTATCCTACTAGCTAGTTCTTCGTTTAAATCAGAAAATTCCGGTCTCGTTTCACCCCTTTATCCAGTTTTACAAATGATGTAGTTGTTTTCTATACACCACTAGGCGTCAACTACAAAGAGGAATGTGTACAAATACGACGGATTATGATTTATGGATTTATCCTGGCGGAGAGGAAAATCGATGGAACGGCTTAATCATATGGCTAGCCACCGCCTCTCGTCCGGTTACCAGTCAAAATTGGGTATGAGATTAGTTAGCCAGTTATTTGTTTTCACATGCATGGACTTGATGGTGGGGCAGCCGACTAGCGGTTACGTGTACCACCCTACGACTGCGACGAGTCCTACAGTCCTCTCATATATAACTAACACCACATGAGATTCGAACCCACGCAGAGTAATCTGAGGTAGTGCCGAGCTGTGCGTGTCGCTCTGAATTACTACAAGACCGAAACGGTTTTCATACCACCCTATTAGACTCCAACTTCGAGGTTGAAGGGCCCCAAAAACTGTTGAGGAGTTCTCGCGGGCCGCAGTCGGAGAAAACCTAAGTCATCAAAACAAGTTTACTCATTTTGAATATATTTAAGAATTAGACCTCATCGTTCTAATCATTTCTTCAAGGAAACTATATAAAGCCTTTAATTAATTATTCTAAAATTGCGTCTCGAGGAGAAATATCGTGGTATTTTCGGTAGCAATTCTCGTGTTCGGTTTTGTAATGTCGCTTAAAATTATATTATTTCGTGATGGATATTACTTGAAAACACACCAGACGCTGTGGTTTACCGTTTTTGTAATAAGGAATACGCTTCCTCACGGTATACTTCACCCTTTTTCCACAATCATTGTATGATGAATTGGTATATTTGAAAAAATGTATCACTTGTAGCGTAAGCAGGCCTAGTGCTACCGTCAAAAAACAAGTTGGGACCTCAGACCCAGATGAAAAAACTGGATCGCACGGCGTTAGGTGAGCTCTGCGGTTCGTCACAGGACGTCATTCTCATATAGGCACCGTCTTGACGTTTATAGATACAACAATGAAATTTCGCTATTTTAATTAACAAACATCAATCTTGACATCGGGATTAGGGAAGAACTATTTCCAGTTGGAATAGTTTAAAAATAAGTTATAATTTTTCTGCTAATAAATCCAACTATTTGCCTTTAGTAGTGTACAATAAAATTGTTCTGCGGGCGCACGGAATGTGTCGGTGGGCCGCATGCGGCCCGCAATTTGGATCACCCTGACTTAGATTATTAGTGAGACAAGAGGTATCGACTATCGAAGTTTCAGAAAATAGTTCTGACTGCGACTGAAGTTTTTTCAATAATGCGATAATGCAACGATGTAACAAAACTCTTTTTTATTTTTATTTTATTTCTCATATAAAAACAAAGTAAATAAAACGCTTGACATGGAGTTATAATTCAACATCTGAAAGTTACTTCACATTTCACCAAAATAGAAGAATCAAAATATAATGAGTGAGAATTATCAAACTCTCTCCTAGATTTTGAGAAAACAAAGTATAGTCTGCTAATGACTGGTATATGTATGAGAATTATCCAGTCAGTGGTGGTAAAATACGAAGGTATGAGATGACGTATACTGATGACGCAATGTGCGTCATTATTACAATGATGTTGGACATCCACGTCGTATTGGAGGGCGCTATATTCACTGAAATGCCTAAATAAAAGCAGAAGGTTGTGTGTGTTTAAAACTAACATAGAACGCGAGGTCTGTTGTCGGTGGTGGATCTACTTTACGTAACTTATGTCGTCACAATTACAATTAACAACATCTTTCACTATGAAATCAGAAAGCTTATATCACGAAACAATGGAACCTATGTGATGTAAACAATATCAATGAGATTAAAATGTAACGTTCAATGAATGAATTAAGGTGTCATAATTAGATTTAAAATGAACAGAACTACGTAATAGACATCAGAAATGGCGTTTGTTCTTATCTGCGACCAATAACGACTACAATGTTGACTGCAGGCAGGCAACGTTTAGGAAATGATAATAATATTTATATAAACATTTAAATAGAGAAAAAATAAAAGCATTCAACTCATATCGAGTCTTTTTAATGACATAAAATTCAGTAGAAGGAAAAGAAAACATTACTTGTTTATAACGAGCACAAAATTCCATTGGGAAGTTAATATGTATGTCTAGCACTACAAAACAAATAAGGCGTTTGCCAGTTCATGTAAAAACGAATCCTACTATGAAATTTGGTTTACTTCAGTCCTGTTCTTTATTGAGAAGGTGAAATATACATATAGTCGTATAAAACAAAATTTGGGGTTTGCCACTGCTTTCTTCTTGATAAATGGAAGTATTTTGTTTGCTTTGATCTCGTTATAACATAGCTGGATATAATTACAGAATTTATCTGTTGTATATTACTGATTGGGCCTCGTAAAATTGGTAAAATTGTATATTTATAAATCAGCAACTAAAAATAAAAAAATTATAAAAAATTCAAATCGCAGAAATGTTTAACTCACAGATAAAGCTCGTCTCATGAAATACACAATCACGAGCTAATAACGATACATTTACTGTGCTTTGTACACTTGTCAGGATTTAATAAAACTACTGGCAACTTTAATACCGGAGAAGATGAAAAAATACACGGAAATAAAAGAAGCAACGGACTGAATCACCGAGAGCTGCGGAGTTGAGTTCATTGAAGTTTGAGTGGTATTTTCAACTATTTAAACTTCAAAGTCAGGGGCGTAGCCAAGGGGTGGTAGTTGGGGGCATAGCAATTTTTCGTAGCTTCAAACACTTTTTAAACCCTAATGACCCTTGAACCCCACGATAGCTGTTAGGTCTAACTTGGCAATTAGAAACTTGAAACCCCCCCTCCTTTAGAAATTTTATGGCTACACCCCTGGGCGAGATAATAAGTTTTCATTGGCGGGGAGTTAAAATTTCACACTTTTAATTTAAACAATCGAAGTCAAATTTTTCCACAGCATTAAAAAATAAGGAAGTTTATTTACTAAGCGTTCTCCACAACCTATTAAAACGAACAAAGATTCTACTATTCAAATTTGATTTTTATTGGATCTGGGGTCGGAGTCGAAATTTCTATCAATCAGGAGGTGATCGGGGTCGCTTAAACAGCCCTGACTGAAACAATAATATTCAAAATTCAAGTAAATTAGGGCCTTCATTAATTTGAAAGATTTGTTTTTAAACTGGCAATGTAGCTATAACTTGTTTGTGGTATCAAATAAATTTCGTTCGCACTGGTATTTCAGCCAAACTTTTTTGTTGTGTGTCCTGGCGTGCAGTGACCCGGTTCTCTGCCTCCTTACAAAATTTGTAAAGTCTTATTTTATGGCAGTTAGATTGACTGAATATACTGGAACCGACCGGTTATAACTGGATTGTTCCAGTTTATTTAGTTTATTCTTGTCCACAAGTTTGACAACCACAGCTTTGAACTTTTGTGACCTGCTGCGTAATACGGGTGCCATCTTCACATAAAAGTTCTATATTTTTTCGCTTCTGTCGCAGGGGAGCGCAACAGGTTGGGGCTGGAGGCTCTTCATTGAGAATTGCTCCTAAACCACGCAACGTTGTCGCACGAAAGTGACCACTTTCTGATCCTCTCGCGCGTCTTCTTGCAGTGCGTCGACTAATACGTGTGCATGATGATGAATCGCACACAAGATTTGTGATTCGTTTGTTGCTCTTGCACAACATTGTGTCGGATGATGATGACGTCATATCTGATGACGTAGTCGGTGATTCATCTGAAGAAGATCTTGCGACTGTAATCTGGACAAATTGTCTGGTCTTTGTTCCACTGCATCTTCGAATACCTGGGAAGATGAAATATGTTAGCATGATAAAACCAGGAATTGTCGAATATGTCACAAGACGAAATATATAAAATAAATTTGATACTCCCGTAGTATGTGTACCAGGTTAAGGTTAGGCTATAATTTTATTCCGATTTTCCCTATTTTAGTTCTATTACGAGTTCGGGGGCAGTCTGTGTTAGCCAAGATATACCCCCTGCTCATAGGTTTCAGTCCCTTTATACAACTTGATGTAAAGTAGGCGAACAAAATTAGTTCCCTCCATATCAGAACACACACTTCTGGAGCGCCATAAATTTTATGGAAATCTAATGAAAAAATGGTTAATCACTAAGAAGTCGGTAATTTTTTATTTAAATTGATTTCCTATTTTATGAAGGCATTCCTTGTGCATTTTCGGCTGCAGAGTATAACAATTCTCCTTGCCGATTACCGATAATAAATACATTGTCGGTAGAGTACATAATGCTGCAATTGTAGAAGTAATCAACGATTGGATAGCGTAAAAGAGGAATTTTTAATTTTTTTTTATTCGGACTATATTATTGTTAATACAGATATATAGAATCCAACTCACGGCTTGCGCAATTCCTTCCGCTGTATCCCATCCTACATTTGCAAGTGTGTCCAGATGAATGAGGGACACATGTTCCATGGTCGCCACAATCAACACCTGCGCAAAAGTCTCTGATTTCACAGAATTCTCCGCCGTAACCTACAAAAGATCAAATTTTACATTTTTTTTTGTCACCTCTATTTTCCTGATTAACAAGTATTCATTAAAATTTTATCAGGAAGGCACATATGCCTTCCCAAATTATAGCCGACTTTAGTCTGCGTTTTGAAAATTTTGTAATTGCTTTCCAGGAAAACAAATTATGGAAGTTTTCTTTATAAACGTAGGTGGAGAGCCACACATGACTGGGATATATGTTGCTTAACGATGTACCAACCAGGCCGATAAAATGAGAAGCACTTCAGTCACACATTCCGCATCCAAATACCTTAAGGTTTGAAAATTACAGAAAAAAATCTCCTATCTAATATATATATATTGGGTTCACCATATATTGAGTTATTTTTTGTTGAGAATTCATTTTTATGAGTTTGATCAAAGTAGGGTCCATTGAATAAAAGTGGAAACAGTACAGGTAGATCAGTGTAATTTACCAATGGAGAAATACTAGATATTTAAAATAATTAAATTTGTAATATTAGGTAAGACCTGTGATCTAATATGTATTTGCATTATATCTAGGCAATAAGCCCAAAAAATAAAGTTGTCTTGTTATATCAAAAATTTGCATAACTCTCAGCATTGTTTCAACGGCTCTGCATTTGAAGCTAATTTGAATATTTGATGAATGTTTTTTACCTGCATCACATTCGCAGACATATGAACTGGCATTTTCCCCGTTTACCACACACATTCCATGTTGGCATCGATTTCCTGAACAAGCTGTTGGTTCTGAGTCTTCAATATCGCAGTATATGCCTGGACAAATATACATTGTTATGGTAAATCTTTAAAATACTGGAACGAGTTGGTATTAGTATTTTGTAACTGGAGATTGCCCAAAACCAGTTTCATAAGAATAAAAAAAAAACTATTTAATTCCTTATTTGTGAGTTGACTCACAGGTACATAGCGGCGACATGGTGACAGGCAATAAGTGAGAAATGAATACCTGCTTCTGTGATATATATAATACGAAAAAAAGGAGAGTCGCTGTTGAATAAAGCAGAATGAAATTTAATTTCGAAATTTTTCTTTTTTCCCTCACGACTCGCTTTATACCAAGCTTCCAAACGGGCGGTACCAGTTTGTTTTTAACTTGACTTTGAAAGAGCATAATCAAAATACCGGGCGTCAAAAATATAGAGCAAATCTCTATACGGAGAGACATTCGAACATAACCAACCTGAATATCCTTCCATACAACTGCATTGAGATCCTCCATTTTCATTGGCGACACATTCACCGAATTTGCAGGTCAAATCGCTACATGTCGACACCAAGCCATCTCTGGAACATCCGGGACGAACGCCAGTGTCCTGTTGGAAGAGATCGCTAAACCCTGCCTGACTAGCAGTGAAGAAATCAACTGGTTCACCATCAATGTTGAGGTTACGGAGGCAACCTGTGTAAACATCGATTTCTAGTTAAATTTACGTGATATTTTTATTAAATATTATAAGTCAAACTATCTTCGTTTGGACACGACATAGACACGTGCACCGTAATTAATCAAGACTGTTATTTATGTTTCGTCTAAGAAATGTTACTTTTGAGCTTGAAATGAAATATTATACAATTTTTAAAGACGATTAGATCACTGGACCAGCAATGACCCAGTCATAAAAGCGTCGGAATCACCTATGTAGGCAAGTTAGCAGTTCCTTATATACAACCTTACTCGGAATGAAACTCGTATAAAGATCCGTTGTTCGTATAAAGATAAATAAAGAAATTCGTATAAAGATCCGATTTATCAAAAGGGACTGGGTGCGTGATATTAAATCTTCAACGCTTAGACTTTGTTAAAGTGTTCTATCACTCAAACTGTTCTATGCTCACCTAAAACAAAAGTGCGGTACTCACCAACAAAACTAGTAGTGTTTCTTATATGCCAACTTCTGCGAGCATTGGACAACACATTGGCAGGAATTCCTCCGACGTACAAGGGCAGTGCTGTGCTGACGATCTTCTTACTGACGGCTTCGTAGTTGCGAGAGTCATCTATCACCATTGTAACACTGGCTGTACGGATGTCAAGTCGAATCTGGTCGAGAGAAAACAATGCATTGGAAATATAGAATAAAATTTTTCAGTAGTAGCCTCGGTTTAATATAATATCTATGTGCCCACTTTACAATTTCAATTTTGTTATGAAGTCAGTTCCCAATATATTCTAACCAGATTTCTTGTTTTCTAATGAGTAATTGTTTAAGTATTTTTACTTCATACTTAAGTACATCTGTGAGGGCCAAAACAATACAGAATATATGGTATCGATAAATTCTCTTTGCAATTTTAAAATTATTTAAGACTTCATGGACACACTATATCTTCACTATGTATATCATACCACGTGGAATTCTTCGTCGTTTATGATTTCTTCGCTATAAATTGCTGAATTGATTCCATCATAACTGAATCGTACATGGCCAGCGAATAATTCAATCGTGATATGTTGACTCGATTCTCCGGCGTACAAGATGACTCCGTTTAGCTGAAAATAAGCAATTGAATAATACAAATTTATATACAAGTTTAGTTTATATTTTACATACAAATGCATCGAAATGGTAGACGTAAATTTCAGATGTACAAATTTTTATGAGCTATGAGATATGTAGCCAATCATAATGATTGGCATTCAATGTACTTTTGGCAATTTATTGTTTAGTTATTTGACAGAAAATAATTCGAATACCGATGTTTGCATTTGGAAGCTTACCTCCTTGGTAGCGATTTCTACAGTAATTTGCAGATATTCTTGATCTTCAACAGCTTTATGAAGCTCAGCATAACTTCCATTGCGGAGGAAACTCACACCAGTCAACTGGAAAAACAAGAATTAGCTAGTGTGTTTGCATCATAGGATTTACATATTTATCTTGGGAAGAGAAAAGCCGCGAAGACGTCAAGCCACGGCCTCTCGTCCGGTTACCAGTTCATGTTGGAAATGGGATTAGTTGGTTATTTGTTTTGCCAGTTCATTTTCTTGAATTGCTCGCAAATGGCGCGTTGTCTCATTACCCAACAGCCTCGCCTTTAGTTGTTCGTAAGACGTATACTTATAATTTACGGTGGATCACCATATGATGTTAGTATTAAAAGTGCATCAGTCTCACCATTTGACATTTATTCCCGGTATATCCAGGCAAGCAGCGACAGGTGAAGTCCGAAGCCCGACCAGGTTCAACGTAACATTGAGCTCCGTTTTCGCAATCATTGCCGATGCAGGGATCGTCTTGCTGGATCAACGCGGTATGGCCATCAATGAATTCGCAGTATTGACCACTAGAAGAGAATGAATGAAATAAAAATTAAAATCTTACATCAGTGTCATACAGGTATTACCAGGTTGCTACTTTGCGTAAATAGCTAGCTTCTGTCAGCTTTTGCTGGACGAGGGTGTAAATTTGTTAATGTTCCATTCAATGCCACTTCTATGCTTCCGGGCGTGTTTTACTGTTCTTATTTGTTTCATTACGGTTATATTTTCATTGGAACTATTTTTTAAAGTTTGAATACAACACTTCATACACCGAACTCAAATAAACGAATACAACCGGTCGTGTGTAATCTCGGCTGTCTGTGTATTTGGAACTTTGTTAGAAAGTGAAAATCGAGGGTCAAGCAACCACCCTACTTAATAACAGTATGACTCTGGTTTCTGACCACAGTTCGTCGTCCATTCATTGTATAATATTTAGTTTTTGATATCAAAATCACTTTTTTAACGAGAAGTGTACATATCTGTTATTTCAGTAAGTTCTTGTAGTTGTTCTTATTGTTGTTGTGTTTTTTTGTTTGTTATTGTTTATTAGAAAAAAAAACTTTTTTGTAACATTAATCTAAAATCTCACCGATATCCGCGTGAACATTCGCATCTATATCCGGCACCATTCGATCCATCCATAACGCATTGTGCTTCGTTTTCACATTTATGATCAAGACAAGGATCCCATTCTTCGGAACAGTTTAATCCTCTAAAACCGATTTTGCATTCACACCTGGAAATGAATAACAAATGGTAAATATAGAAAGATTTGTTGTGTTGACGAAACTGTATGTGATTTAAAAATCCTTTTGATAGTGCATTCCGCATTAGATCTTACGAATTTGTAATAATAATAGTATGCAAGAAGCGTTTTTAGTCATAAGATGCAAGGATTTTGTAAAGCAACTAATTTCCCTCTTTCTTATTGGAATATCAGGATTCCCACCTGACAAACAATCAGACATAACTACAAAAAGATTTCTTATAATTATAAAAGCATACGTAAATGAAAAGCGAGCACTTTGGTGATACAATCCAAATTATGAGGCTTGCAATAAGCGTCATATGAAAACCTTAATAATTTGTAATATCGATCTGTGTTTGACTAGACTAAAAGACTGCTTTCAGTCATGAGATTTTCAAGTTCTTGAAAGCGATTAACTTTTTGTTCATTTTTCATATTATTCAAGTCTGTCGCTTCAAACAATGCCCTATACCGGCAGCCACTAGAATCTAGCGATATCTAGAGATATCATCCCCAGTCACATATTAGTTGATGCTCACACATAGCAAAAGTAGTAGCAAAAATTATAAAATGCGAAATTTAAAACAAAATCATATACCTGAATTCTACTTGACCATCTGATGCAAGGCTAGGGAAGCATTGTCCCTCATTCATGCAAGGATTTTCCGAGCATGGATCTTCTATTTCTATGTGACAGAAATCTCCAGACCTGATGAAAATATAAAATATGAATAGAAGCAAAGTAATAGCCAGCGGGAACTACGTCTTTTGTCTTCAATTTCTCGATCTATTCTTAGTATCGTAAAAATGTATACTTAAACTTTTGACACATTCTACCCAACACATTAACAAGTTTCAAAGAACAAAGTGGAACATGGACAACATCATTATTCCTGTTCTCACAGTGCCTTTTTGAGTGAAAATCGTAAAAAAAAAATTAAAACAACATTAAATTCACAAATGCTATGGGCAATCTTACCATCCCGGCGGGCATTTGCAGGTGTAAGTATTTATTCCATCAATACAAGTCGCATTATCCGGTCTACATGGGCGCATTTTACAGTCATCTATGTTGATTTCACAATCGTAGCCTGAGAATCCTGGTGGGCAGGTACATCTGGAATGAAAAAAGTGAATCGCAACTTAGGACATGGTTGACATAGAGTTGGCAGAAAAGTTTTGTGTCTCTTAGCTTCAAAACAAGATTCTTGAAAATTAAAACTATAGTGCGAAATTGGGGACGTGAGCGGTCAAAATGTTTAGCACTCTTAGCGAAATTGAGGAATTAGAATACCCGTTATGTCCACAGTTCACACCCGTGATCCTAACTTTTCGATGAGAACATAGTCGGGCCATGTACTAAGCTGTTTCCAGAAATTTTATGGAAATGTATACCGACGCTCGGAAGCCATACGTAAGCAAGTCAAGTTGAAAAATATTAGATCAGTAGCCTTAGAATTTGTTAACTACACACTTGAACAGCTTCGTTTATAAAACATCATTCAAATTGAATAAAAATTGAAAATTTAGGCCACAGGGACGATTTTTAATTTGTAGTCCTCACTACTGAAACATACGTGTAAGAAATTTCATCTCTTCCAGTGCATGTTGCTCCGTTTCTGCATGGGTGTAAGTTGCAAGCGTTCACAGGCATTTCACAATGTTTGCCTTTGAAACCTGAGTAAAAGAAAATGCTCCGTAAATAATATATCGTTAGTATAATAATTCATAATCGTGAAAGAAATTTCACCCGCGCAATGCTATACTAGGTTCTATTCGCTTTATAATCTTCCCGGTTTTGCATATGTTTTTCAGAAATTTTATTTATATTGTGGACTTGAGCGGAATAACAACTGACTATGAATTGTAATTTTGAATTGTAATAAAAGATTTTGTTATGAACATCATTATTTTAGTATGTGTATAATATATCGCAAGTAACTCATTTTAAAGTATTAATTAAATAAGATTGAAAAAAAAATTCGATTACTAATTTTTAGTTTACCTGACGGACAGATACATTGATAATACTCGACGGGATGTAAGCGACAAGTTCCGTCATGAAGGCATGGAGTTGAAAGGCATGGGTCACACTTTGATGCAATCGGAATGCTGAGGGGTCCTAGAAGAAAAAAGAATAGTATGAATATGTGCGAAGTTTTGGTGTAATAAAGTAATACCGTAAAATGTTGCATATTTTGTATTATTCAACAGAAATTTATCCAAAACGTGAAAATTTTTTTGTCATGCAAAAATAATATAACACACTACTATATATACGGCGATTGCAAATTTATATTTACTAATCTGAGCGAATTTGCTTTCAGCGTATTTCTATTTCACAAATCTGTAGTGAAATGGTTTATATCGCAGAAAAGAAATTAAAAGCAAGCCAGTACTTCGTTACAAATCTCAACGAAAATTTTGCAACTGAAAATAACTGTATTTTCATTTTAAACCAATGTTTCCTGAAGTTTCATTTGACGGCAAAAAATGTAATAAAATCAGATATAAGAAGCCGATTTTCAGCAAATTTTGAGGCTCAAACTAAATGATTATATACATTGATTCCCAATTGAAATCGGCATTCGTTTCGATTTTTAAATTCTTTTAATGGCACCATGAAAAAATGAATATAAAAATTACAGAACACACCACGAAACGATCAAATTCAATGGAAAACTACGACACACGATATACATGCGAAATACCAATATAAAAGTTACATGCATAAAATTTTTCATGGATTAAATATTAATGAAAGCTAGCATGCAACAGCACATGCAGCACTTAAAACTATTTAACTCCAGAACTTATTTGTCTATTCTTCTAAAAACAATTGTATACCCAAATGTGTGTACCAATATGGAGATAACTAATTTTGTTCGTCTACTTTACATCAAGTTGTGTAAAGGGACTGAATCCTATGGGCAGAGGGTATATTCACTTGGCTAACACATACAGTCCCCGAACTCGTAATAGCACTAAAATAAGGGCAAATTTGAATAAAATTATGGCCTAACCCTAACCTTGTATACACACTACGGGAGTACCCCCAAAACTGTATACGAAAGAACAAATACGATAAAGCTCAAATTGCTTTTCTGGTGAAAAGCCAGGGCAATTTTGATAACAATTTTAACGACCATTTGACGATTAAAATATGTCTAAACTTCATTGAGTTGCTCTGTAACTGCATTTAATTTTTTAATATTATTACTAATATTTGTTTTAATCAGAAAAAGCACGGAAGCAGGTGATTATTTGAGTTAAATCAAAACCGAGCTGAATTTAAGCATTTTACCTCGTCGCCGAGATTTTCGACGTTTGCACTTGCTCAAAGGAAGGTCTGAAACGGAACAATGCCCACATTTACAAACCAATGTCGAAGAAAAGGTCAAGCGTCATATTAGTGACGTCAAACCAAGATAATACCACAACGGACATAAACCCGGAAGTTTAAGTGTGTTTTTTTTCTCGTTTTTTTATCGATTCATTTATGAACTGTACCTTTATTTCGACATCGTTTACAACATTAAGACATACTCAAACATAAATGCAGAAATCGTATTCTAAATTTCGAAACCATCAAAATTTCTGCATTTATACCTCGAGTAAAGTCGGTGCCGCGAAAACCAAGAGCGCGAAAATGGTGTTCAACTTCAGCAAACAATTCATTTTTCAAGCGTAAAAAGGTTATTTTTATTCATTTTTTGTGACACAAAATCGCGCTCATGGTTTTCAAATGTTCCATTTCATTCCCCCTTTATTTGCAAAATTAAAACTGAAGCAAAAAATACTTAAATAGCAAAAGAGGCACATTGTTTTCCCACTTATGGTTTTCGCGAATGAGCAAATATTATTAAACAGCATGTTCTATCTAACTAGTGACAATGATTATGTGATGTTAGAAATTAGAAACAATAATATCACTGGAAAGATCAGGAATTGTCAATGTTGCCAGCAGTGGCGTATCTAGGGTATAGCAGAAATGACACATGCCATGGGCACCGTTTAGAAAGAGGCGCAAAAAGGGTAAAATTTATAATCGTAAAATGTTTCAATAAGATAATTTCAAATTAGAATTACTGTTTTTATATGACGTACATAACGAACACGTCAATATCATTTCAACAACAGTAGTTAGAAATTGTCAGTCCACAATCAGGACGGCAAATTTTTAAACTTTGCCATGTGGGCTATTTTACGTAAATACGACACTGGTTGCCAGTATTTTGAACGGTCATAACATTTCTGTTTTAATTCACTTGTATTCTTTTATCCCAAATTTTGGAAAATCAAGTTCGATTATTTTCAAGTTTCACGGGACAGCAGACAATTTCAGACAATTCCAAACCTTATTCTCCAGTGAAAAATGATTCTTTTTTGAATAAGATACACCCTAATGTATGTGTACATATAGATTCCTACTATTCATAAGCTAAATAATAGAACCATGCCTTATAATATACATATAATGCATGCAAATATATAAATAAGGCAGCATGCAAAAACATTTGAACTGAAATTAAAAGTATTTTTATATTTACTAATACGTTTTCTGATAGCTTAACAAACTAGGCACTAATAATACTAATACTAAAAAGATTATTATTGCTCATAAACCTTGAATAGCTACAACGCACGCAAGCTTAAATTTTGTTTGAATTGAGGTCAAATTATATAAAGTTGTTGCTTTCAGTTGAAATTGAATCGTTGTGCCCATCGTTTTCATCCTGCGTAGTTCACTATATATACTAGAATCTAAATAGTATTCCCGACTAAGCTAAGCGCTCAAATACCAGGATCCGCTCTTTACAATAATTGCAGAAAACACGTGGGGCTATGTTACTACTTAGAAAAGATGAATGCTACTTTTCTACAGTAATTTATTACTGCGATTAATTTAGGTCTGTCCTAATATAATTGTGTGCTGTGAAATATCTTTATACCCGATATAACCGCGTGTCAACTTTACAATTGAATCAACCAACAAAAACGGTAGATTACATAATATAATACCAAAATATTACCGTTGCAGACGAAGCTTGCGATTGGAGTTGTCAATAAAACCCTCCCGGCCACAGCTGAAGGTCCGGAACATTGAGCGATGCCAGGTTCCAGGTAATCCTTATTGATCCATTCATTGAACCAGGCGAGGTTACAATCGCAATACCAAGGGTTCGATCCGAAGCCACTGAAAAGTAATGAATGTTTGTCAAAATTTAATTTTGAAGAAACTAAACTTTTATATACAATTTTTAAAAATATCAACATAGTAAATCAAATAAAAAATTAAATCGTTTTTTGTTAGCAATTCCGGAAATCGAGCACAATGAAAAAAAACGAGAAAAATTTTAAAAAATCAATCTTTTGCCCGAAGGGACAGGATAACCGCGCGAAGAACCACGATTCGCGAAAAAAGTATCCTTAGGTTCAATTTGAAACCTCAGATTCTATGTTCATCGTATGTTTACGCTGGTAATATTAAATGACCACATTATCTATTTCAGTTATTTGATTCAATGTAAAACTAAGAAAAATATATATTGTAGTAGCTCTTGAATATTTTGCAAAATTACAAAATTTCACTCACGCGTGAGAGAGTGCGATCAAGTCGTCGAAAGTTCCATGCTGTACGGTTGATATTTCGTTGCTATGGAGACTCCTGTGAAATCATAGTAGACATTATTACATCATAAAATTGCAAAATTTAAACAAAAATAAATATTGGGATTAATTTATAAACACTTACAAAATTCTTAGATTCTTTAGACCAGAAAATCCTCTCGGTGGAAGACATCTCAGTTTATTGTAAGCAAGAAGTAGAGTTGACAAACGAGTGAAGTTTGCAAAGATGTTGTCTTGGAGAGTTGCAATCAGGTTGTTGCTCAGGTCACTAAAAATATAAATAGGAGGAGGGTCAGACAGGAGAAAAAATATATGTATATATAAAAAATTAGTTACTTATAATTGTCCAAATGCACTATGAATATTTTCTTCATATAATCTAATAAAAAGACAAATTGAGTCGTTTTCAAAGAGGCGTCCAGTCCGTTCTAAATAAATTTAAACCCTGAAACTGTAAAATTAATTTTATGTATTTATAAAATTTTCCATAAATTTTGAAAAATAAGCAGTGCATTGGATGAGCAGTCCATAAACTAATAAACCATGGGAGTGCAACCTGTGGGCCAAATGCGGCCAACAAGATAAAATTGTGCGGTCCGCAAAGAAGTGCAAATTTCGAATGGCGTGCGACCCATAAAACAAGTTTTTAATTCGGTTTAATCTGGTACCCATGTTTAATAAAGGTGCGGCCCGCGGTTTCACCCAGTTATTTGTATCTGGTGCTCTTGTATTGAAGGTTGCACATCCCTGAACTAAACGACAATATCGGTACCATTCCTTACAAAATCAGTAATTACTTTAACGTTTTTAGTGCCAATTTTTTTACTTACAGTTTTTCAAGTTTTGTGAATCGTTTGATTGAAGTTGGGATGAGTCTAATTTTATTGAGATTTAAGTAAAGCTCGGTAACTGTCTCAGGAATATCGTCAACTGGAACTGCAGTCAGTCCTACATTGATACATCGGACGACGGTACCTGCAACAAAGACGCAAAAGATAGGATTGTGCAAAGAACGGTCATTTTTATGAGCAGCGTATACAATATAAGCGTGATAATCCATTTTATTCAAAGTAAACAAATTTCAATTTCGAAGGTACTAACACTTATACTGTCATACTTATTGTTGAGGATTTTTTCGCTTTAAAACTTGGCGAATGTGAAGGACCTCCTCCGATGTAGGCTTATTGGGAATCTACTGACCAAATGTGTGATTTGTTCAGCACAATGTGTCTTGTACAACTGTGTTAAAATCTACCTACTGCTATACGGAAACACATAAGCCTAATAAAATCCCTCGGAAAAGGTCAATAATAATCTGTGTTATAGTATTCCCTTACCTTCACATAAGCATCTTTCAGGACATTTTATTTCTGGTTTGCATGAAGGAGGCTGAGATTTCTCTTCAGTCGAGCAATGGAAGTCCTGAGGATTGATATCTGCTACTGGGAAGCCATGCAAGAAAGAAGGTTCGGCACAACGAGGGTTGCCAGATGAAAAGGTTCCAGTTCTAAGCCAGACTGATAGCCATGACATATGGCAGTTGCAGATAAGTGGATTGGAGAGTAAGTTTCTGAGGAAAGAGTAATATTTCAGTGAATAATTAAGTAAAATTAAGTTTGTTTTAACAATAGTTTGGCATGCTTGAAAATATGTAGGCATTTGTGAGCTGTCACTTTTTTCAAATCAAAACATAGGCCTTCGAAATTTATATGCAGTTGGTATAATTGTATTAACACATTTCTAAATTGAAAATGATCCTATAATTATAATTATACATTGCCAAGAGATATGACAGAATACACTGTCGATATGATGATAGCAAAAATATAGAAATTTGCAAAATAAGCCAATGTCTGCATAATTCAAATACATATGAACTTCTGTTCATATTTTGTAATGTTTGCAAATAAATAAAGATGACAAAACGATAAACGAACGGACAGAGAACACGAGAAGCTGAACTTAGAAAGATTTAACTTGTTAGTTTAAGATGTTGCAGAATAAAAAGCACGAATAGAACTCAAGATTGCACGTTTCAATAACTCTCACCTTTTATGTTGCAAATCCCTTTTAAAAGCGTGGAAAAGAATATATTTTTGTATAAGAAATAGTCGATTTTATATTGCCACAATCTTGGGGACGCTCGAATCATTTGACTCAAAACGAGTCGAAACCGAGTCAACATTATCAAACACTCGAGGTGACAAGAGTTATCTAAATAGCTCGGGAATCTACCCTAGAGTCTAGTCTGGATAACAATGTGACTTAACACAATGATTGACTCGACTAGAGATTCGAATAATTCCTGACTCGACATGGGACTTCAACCCAAAACTACAGTATATAAGGGTGATTTGAATTGTTATGAAATTCGACCAAACTACCTCAGTGAAGCTATGTTCCATGCGAGTATATTTGAGAGATGAAATCGTATTACTAGAAGCACAAAATATATATCGAATAAATGAAACAATATTTTTTGAACTTGAGATTCATTCAACAATATTTAATTCACCACCTTGATATTCATTTAAACTCGGGAAGCTCATGAATTTAAGAAATATTTCATAAAATATTTGCGATACACGATGTTCTACTTCCACAAACATTAATTTGAATTAAAACAAATAACTTACAGGAGATTTAGGGATGTGAGGGAATCGAAAGCTCCTTCGACGATGCTGGTGATCTGGTTTCCATATAAGGAAAGATGCGTCATGCTTGATAGACCAGCAAAAGTAGCGTTGCTTATGCATTTAAGTCGATTGTTGCGAGCCATCCTGTAATACAAAGTCATAATGGAGTGAAAAAACAAAAAAAGACAGAAAGTTTTTGAAATATTCATTATTTATTTTGTATTTTTTGTAATATGATGAAAGTACAGAATGTCTATAAAAATTGTAAAGTTGATCCGCATAAAAGTCAGTCGCGTTTTTGCACTGAAATCTGTTCTCTAACTAAATAGTAAAACTAAAGTCCATTTGCATCAGAGTCATTTTTTTGCTTTTTTACTTTTCATGTAAATGAATTGTTATGTTTAAAACAAAATCCAGTGCTGGCATATTTCAGTATATATACTTACAAGGTTCTGAGATTTCTCAGTCCCGCAAACATCCCGCCATTCATATCCGAGAGTTCGTTGTCATTTATCCACCTGGGATAAGAATTAATCATTAGAAATATTTTTGAAATGATGTTTATGGCTTAGAAATATGCCTTCGATTTGCTGCTGATAATGACGAAGCAGGTTGGAAGCACATAGATCAGGGGTATTAGTGCAATATATCTTTAACACTCGTTTGGACAACACGGTCGATTGAAAAATTCTATTAACTATTAAGCATAAAAGATAAAAGTACTCGGCGAAAGGATCGGTACTGGTGCAATATATTTTAACCCTCATTTGAAATAGGTCACCATTGGTCGCATTAGTACACAAGAACGTTATATTATTGGTGGCATGCGTTCAAGTATCGTTACAATAACTAATATCACTTCATGAAAACATAAGAACTTTACAGAAATATTTGGTGGTGACTCACGGGTAAAAACTGTATGTCGGTTGGCCACGACCATCCAATCACGAATTCCTCTCTACATATGGGCAATTTGGAACGAGGCCAAACAGGCGATTTTGGTGTCGCTTTGGGGGCATAAAGAGCATTGGTAAACACTCATCAGAAGAATTTTGACTTCCGTGGCCCATTGCTAAGGTCAAGTGACAATGTCAACCGTTGTGATATTATAGTAGGTCAAATAGGCTGTTGTGTTGAGTCACGTCCAAAGATTGTGGAGACGACATCAGTCAATTTTAACGCGTTTCTTTCTTTAATCCATTCACTTATTTATTTTTTATAAAACATTCACATATCACAGCGATGCAACCGAATTAGCTTATTACACATTTTCAGGTTTCAGGTGTCAGATAATCGAACTTTTGTAATATATTGGTTCTAACGGCCAAAACTGATAATGAACAAAAGGCACTATCTAAATTAAAACTAAAGCAGGTATGTCTTTGAAACCCAGACCATAAGATAGTAACTATTGCATAGATCAGAATATCATAAAATTCCAATTTTGAAAGAATTTGCTTTATGCGCCGATACCACAAATATCAAAACAACTTGTCAGTAATCCATGCATCATATTGACATTTCATATGAAGGCAAGAGTAGGTACTTCACTCGCAAGCGTGACGGGCTAGTTCTGGGTCGGATTTGTTGGTTTAGGACAAATTGGAAGGTCATTTAGGTGATAAAGGACATGAACTATTTGTGGACAAGGTGATGACATTAGTATGTTGAATCTACCACCCATGGAGTTGAAGATATGATTAAACAATGATATGCGCACATGGGAATGTATTCCTTGAATGTTGACTTTTCCGTTCATCAAAATAGCCAATAAAGAGATGTGGCAACATAAAAACTTGAATCTACGATCCATGCGGGTTGAAGGTTATAATTATTGGCATGTATGCACGACCACGTATATTTTCAAACAGTGGGTCTCCCGTTGAATAAAATGTGTGATACATGCGACTAGTGGTTAGCGCGTTAGGCTTGACAGTTCTGACGCCATAGCTTGACAATTTTGGTTCCAAATTATCCCCGCTAACTTCCATCTATCCATATGTAATTGGGCAATCTATATGTCGAGTCGGAAAAATTACGGTGATTCAGAGCACAATTGGTTCTTACATATCAGTGGGTGTTTGCTAGGTGTATTGTCCGGGGCGAACAAGCAATAAAACACTCGGATACATAAACAAACTTACAGTTCTAGAACACTATAAGCTCCGTTGAAAGCACCTTCCTCAATTATCATCAGCTTGTTGTTAGAAAGATCGATTTTCTTCAAATTTGTTAGTTTTTTGAAAATATCCAAACTTGCAAGAATTTCGATATCGTTGAAAGCTAAATTCCTAAAGAAAGAAGGAAGCTTGATTAATTCTGCAGAATCACAAAGTAAATGCCTAATGATGCAAAAAACATATAGTAAGTCATGAAGATTAAATACTCCTGCTGAACTACCAAAAAAAAATGTTGTTTCGCTATTTTTAAAACTAGTGTTTAATATAGTTAAACGTCCAAGTGAAACTTACAATTCCGTCGCATAAGGAGGAATATTGTCAGGAACTCCGGTGAGTTGTTGTCTTGAGCAGTCGATGACTGACCCATCACATCTGCATTTATCAGGACATTCTGCTTCAGGGCTGCATTCTCCTGCAAACGGTGGCGGAAAGTTGTCTCCTTCTGTAAGTATGGAACAGAAAACTTGAGAGAACTGAAAACAGCTTCTTATGTGATAGAAATACCAATCGCATCAGTAGGTAAACAAGTAGAGAAGCAAATATATGCCTAGATATGCAGTTATAGGTATAAGTTATAATACTGAGATGCAAAATAGTTTGTTAATCGATATAGTTCACGTGAATGATGAACTAGAGTGGAATAGGCGGTACAAAATAGGCGGTCATAAACGTATTTTTAAGTAAATCCGTAAAAGAATTTTATCATTATATTCCGTATGTACAAACGTCAAAATGAGTTATTATTCACCTTATATTTGACATTATTTTTGACAGAAGGTATTTAGCAACGGAAGGGTCTCAAAACCTATGGTATGTTACCGTGAATTCATGAAAGGCGTTAAATAGTGGGTTGATTGAGTCACGTGACCCTGTGCTCAAATCAACCATGTCAAATAGTTACCAGATCTCCATTATTCTGGTCTTACAACATGGTTAGACTGAAGCACATAGACACGACACAAATAACAAACTAAAGTGGGCATCGTGGATATGAATAGTGTTTTATCGTTATACGTTCCCTTATTTGTTGATAGCTTTACATTGTTTTATTATTGGTACAAAGTTTTATATGTGCACCAGACAGTTATTCGTCAATTAGCAGGAAGAGCTACCGACCGTAGACTACTTCGAAAAACTATTCGCGATTTGTACATAAATGATATTTTTGGCAAAACAAGCTTATCTGGGAATATAAAAACAAATACATGTGTCCGTCTGGTGGCATACAAGGGCCAGTTTGTTATTTCATGCCAGTCTAGGAAGATTTTTTTGAAGCGGAAAGAAAACGAAACACTATCATATGACGTCACGCGAAGCATGGTCATTAAAACGCATATACACAATGCGCTATGTGAGCAACGCAGTGACTATAGACAACGTATAAGTCATCTCGTTAAGTTTAATACTAACCTTCGCATTTAAATCGTCTGCTTTTTACATGTGCAATTTTCTTGTTTCCTAGTCGTCTCGGGGCAGCACATCTTGCCCCACTTGTTTCAACTGGATTGTCTTGCAAATAGTCAGCAAGCCAACGTAAATTGCAATCACAAATAAAAGGATTCTGAGCCAGATGCCTGAAATAAGAAGATTGTTTTGTAATTTGTTAAGTTACATAATTTACCATGTTAAAAGATCAGATTCATAAGCGTTGGACTGGCATACATTTTCGCATCTAAAATTAAATGAACCAAGATGATCTTGCTACATAGCTTCATCCAAACAACTATATTCGTTTTTGTTTCAATATTTCACGACATCGTAAAAGACGAGTTCGGAGTAAAATAGAACTTACAAAGTTGCATTCATGTAGATAGCAATCAAGGGTTACTTGGTGAAAATCAAACGACTTTTTCTGTCAATGATAATCCACATGGAGGGGAACATTCAAACGTTATTTACGTCGAAGAAAAGAAACATTATACTCACAAGGTCTGAATTGATTTCAGCGATCTGAAAGTTCCTTTCGAAATAATTTGCAATTTGTTGTCGTAGAGTGACCTGAAAATGTGCAATTGATTATATTATGCGATATCTAATTTAATAGAAGATGGGATAGGATTCATTCTGGTGAAGAGGCACTCCGACAAGAGGCGCCTAATCACATGGCGAACCACGGCTTCTGGTTCAGTTACCAGTCCGTGCCGGGTATGGAAATATTTAGTTATTCGTTTCAAATGCAAAAAGAAGAAAAGGTAGTTTTTATACGCTGAACCATTATTGTCATATTGTTTCGTATAAAGTTTACTTTAGCAAGAAGTCACTCGAAACTAAATTAGCTAGGAATCACTAGCATGACAGGTTAATTGTTTTTTTGAATACGGAGGCAAATAGATTGACACGATTAAAAACAATCTGTACGTTTTACTGATGGATAATAGCCTCCACAAATTGTATAAAATAAATAAAAATGTCAACGGGTTCATTACAAAAATTTTGATGAAACGCTCGTCTCAAAACCTCGTGACTGTTATTACTAAAACAGTAGGTAGGTGACTCAAGCTTCTATCCACACTCGGTAAAATAAACACGCTACTCACAGTAATTTCAGTGACACAAGTCCGTCGAATGTATCATGGCGAAGACAGCTTAACTTGTTAGCGTTCAAAAGCCTGTATTGAAATTATAAATTTAAATTGAAAAAATACCGATAAGAGAGTTGAATACAATTCAGATGAAATATCTTGAATATTGAAGCACACGTCTTGAAACATAAACGAGTTGACAATCTAAAACGTTTTTCCCCACTGGTATTTTTACAATTATAAGGTTCAAGACACAATAAAATATTACTAGAGAGTATTTATTAAAAGCCAAATACGAAGACTTACAGAAGTTGAAGATTTCCTAGTCCGGCAAAGATCCCCTTCGGAAGGCTTGTGATCTTGTTTTCATACATGATCCTGTTACAAAATATTCATACGTTAGTATCTCCAACATAACAGAACTATCAAACGACTACCGCTTTTTAACAGTATTTACAGATTCCAATAACGTCGAAATGCCATTCAACAATAAACAACTGTGTATGTCTGACCTTGAAGTCTGTCTGAGGAAGTCTGACCTTGGTCAGACGAAACGCTACAGAAATATATTTGTGTTAGTGTGCAGCAAGACTCTTGAATCACTTAGGGTATCTTCACTATATTTGATTCTCATAACATCGAAACATATAAAGAGAGGGCACGGCCCAATGGTGGGATTCAAATAAACAGGTTCTCTTTTTTTTATCGAACTCACTAACAACACGTACTCTTTCTTTTCAGAAAATGTATATATTTCACGAAGTAATCTATATTAGCATGACGTTTCTTCACATACGTTTAATAAATATCCATGAAGCTTTGGATTCGCCAAATATAACGCTGGACAGCCGCGGCGAACGCAACTAATTTGCTGTAGCCGTCTAAACCAAAAACTAGCATGAATTCGCTGATTGCCACTCTTGTTACACCCTCATTCCTTTCCAAGACATGATTTGGAAGGGATGATAATTGTTCTGATCGGGTATTACTGTAAGCATTATGAATATAGGCCTATAGGGAACCACGGATCTGATATATTATACGGAAATACATTATTACTTTAATGCGTGAAACCATCATATTTCCCTTTTCATGTTGACGCACTTATATGATAACGAATTCCCACGGTCAAGGTGACGCGTGCGCTAAACAAAAAATTCAGATTATCCGAATCACGGGATATTAGTTTTTCCGATAGTGTATTACTGTCGGCAATATGAGTATAGGAAACTGCTAAAATTTATTATTGAATTTATTACGCGAAAAAACGTTTAGGCTAAATGTTTCATGCTGACGCACTTATAGGACAACGAATTCCCACGGTCAAAGTTGCGCGTGCGCTAAACAACGATTTAGATTTTCCGAATCATTGATTGAAAAGGTTACAGACATTGGTTAGATAAACTGTGATGTAAATCAGCTTTGTTGAGATATTGTAACACTATTTGGAGTGTTATAGTTTCATATTTCGGCAAAGTCGAAACCTTCGTCTTTATGTTTCAATTTTTTGACAAGTAAATGAATATTAAACTCGTTTAAAATAGCCGATTGTGAATTATAGAGAGTGCGAAAGAATTTTCGATGATTCAATACGCGGCAATGGCCACTGCACAATATATTGCGACCATATTTGAAAGTCCCTATATTTTCGTGCTCATTATTCACGGATATACATGCTCAATAACAAAAGGAATAGTTTCTTACAAAGAATTGAGATGTTTCAATCCCTGAAACGAATCTTCCGATACTTCTGAAATCAGGTTGTTGCTGAGATCACTGCAATATAGAAATGTAAATGTTAATTAGGATGAAGTCGCAAGTTGAAGAACTCGCGTTCAAATCCCATGCCCCCCATTTTACCATGGGTGGAAGACAACTTGACAGATGATATGTCCAATTGTATACACAGTAAAGACTACATAAAAGGGGCTGATCGTCTGATGCTTTTTATAGATTTAATATATATCTGTATGTATAAAAGAAGAATTTTTATTCTATTCTCAGAGAAATGGAGAAAATTGCAACTCGGAGTCACTTATGGAAGTAAATTATTGTCGGCATCGCCTATTTAACTAACCGGTGGTCAACTATTCGGCCGGCCACTAATCCATACTGCTTACGTTACCACCCATGAAAAAGCTGGTCAAATATCCATTAAGACCTTATTAGTCTATCATGGAATTCAAAGGGGCTGGCTACTGGTCATCAATTAGGAAAACGAGCAAAATCAGTGGAATGTGAAAACAAAACCAAACTATGTAGACGAAGAAGGCATAATATTTGCCATTCTTTTCTTATGACGCATTCGAATACTAAAATGAGCGCAAGATCTCGTTGGGAGTTTCGCTATTGGTCAAGTTTAATAAAAGAAAAAGGAAACATGCCGCTATATTACTGTTTTGAGAATCTGAGGGAGATTGCCCATATGTAACATTACGGTAAATAGACTAGGCTTTTCAAATGTATCTCGGGAAAAAGGAAAGTCGATAAAACGACTAAAGAATATGGCATAACGCGGTCTTCCATAAGGTTGCCATTCATGATGAATATAAAATTGGCTAATTATTTTTTTTCATATGCATGGACTTATATATACCCATATTGGACAGTTGACTATTCTAACGAGAAATTCCTAATTATTGATTCGAAGTTTTGTGCAAGATGGGTGTTTGGAATCCGTCATCACTCAGGTCCTAAAGAGTTTGGAAAGCATCATAAATCCCCCATTAATCGGATTATCATCATCAATCAATCCCCAAAAAGGCGAATATGACAGGAGATTAGTATTGTCGTGGAAGTATCCAGGAACCCATGACATCACATAACACCCTGTTACCCCCAAATCGACCCTAAAATTGATGATTTCACACAAAAACATCACTAATCTTCATCAAGTAGGCAACAAACAACACCGGTCATAATAGTAATCTCAAAAGACAACAATTTCAGCGCAAAGGTGGCCACTTGAATACGAGTAATGTAGGGAAATAGTATTAAAATTTCCACACACTTACTTACTAACAAACCAAAATTTTAAATAACCAACAAACTGCCCCGATAAAGAAAATGAATGTTAAAAAATACTGATGAAGCATTTTTAGAAACGGTCGTACGGAACTGGGAGTTGTAAAAAATTAATTGTCACTATTTTTGTCATTTCCAATTTTTCCACAGCTATAACGTTATGAGAGACGTTTCTGATCGGTAAAGTCAGAGCCTGCTTCCTTATTTGGATAATATAAAGCGGGGTGGGCAAGGTGTTTGGACCCTAGGCCAAAAATGTTGCCCACCCAGACTAGCGTGTAAGTGTGGAGTAAAAAGTTACACTTCATGAATAATATTTACAGTGCTACGAAAGCAAAAGTGGAAAACAGGCGGGCCAAATCAAATTACCCAATGGGCCGGATTTGGCCCGCGACCGTAGTTCGCCCGGCTCAGATATAAAGTCATGCACCAACAGTATTAACATTTTTCTACGGGCTCTCATACTAAAAGGCCAATTCTAGATACACAGACTAATAGTTACACATTTGTTAACTATTGTCAAGAACGCAAAAAGGTCCTGATATCGCGACAGAAGGTGAAAATAAAATAAAATGTGTACGTATTCAAAAAGGCAATTACAGGGCTAAGAATTGTTAAAATATCTAAAACTATTTTTGTCATCGCAATATTTTCATACCGATTACATTTGTGAGAAACGTTCATAACTGTTAAATACATCACGGGTTTCTTTATTCTGATAAAATAAAGGTCAATAATCCTTAGTTGAACGTATAGTATCTATAATTCCTTATTTTCGTTACCGTAATTAAGCGTCGATGACTCAAACTAAGTAGGCGTCTTGTTGTTTTCGAGTATTAGTTATAACTAGTATCGAGAAAATTAATATACGGAGTATCTTGTAAAAATATCTTGTACGGTCATATATTGAAAATTATAAATTTTTTCTCATCAACCCTGTATGAATGATAACGGTATACGTGTGTAAGAATTTTGAAAACCGTTCGCTTCGTATAACTCGAGTGATAATTGATGAATGATGGGTTGGTTAGATGGACCACCATGAAAAAATTGCAAGGTTATAATGAACAAAAATTTAAGTGCACCATCAAAAAAAAAAATTGCAGGGTTTAATTGAACAGAAATTCAATGGGTTTGTTATTTTTCGAACTTTATTGAGCCAGTATTTACTTGTAGTTCTTGTGCACACGCATAATAGGCTTATGAGCAACGTACGATCGTTTGACTAACTAGAAGAAAATAATACAAATTATATATTATCTCATGGAATAATATTCCAATACTCCACAAAACTATAATTGAATGTAAACCCCTGATGTCTTACAGGGTAGTTTTACATAAAAGGATTGTGTCGAGCCGTGTTGTTGATTCTGACCACTTGTCGAGTATGTTTTGACAGGTTAAAGATTAAATGAAATATGATATACATTTAGCCTGCTAATTGGCGCAGAACACTTGAAAAGTCCGGCTGCAAAATATTAGTCATTTAGCCGAACAGACGACGCGCTAAACAAATAGCTTATTCAGGAAAGGCTATGTAAACATTTAACCTATATTTTTGTAGATGATCTGAACGAGTTGCCCGTTTAGTAAGACCGCCTTGTTGCCTCTGAACCCCAAGTACAGCATTCCTTCTGTCACCTTCTGACTTTTTTGCTCTATTTTTATCAGATTTATTGTTTTTAACAAGGATCAACAAACAGCCTGCAGTATTCAGAGTTTATTACGGTTTTAATGTTTTGGTACACTTTATTTTAGGAAGTACTTTAGAAACGCCCTGAGTCTCTGAAAGCTTTTATCAAATATATTTTGAGTATATGATCATATTTTTATGCACACATACGTGCCCCAGACGATTTCAGAGACGAGTTAAATATTTCTAATTTGTTGTTAATAAGCAAATAGCTAGCGTGCCCCAGAGGCTACTCACATTCTTTTCAATTTTCTGTATCTGGCGAACGCTCGAGCAGGAATCACTTCAATCATGTTTTGTTCAAGACGTCTGAAAATAGGGAAATGATATGCAAAAGATACTTCGCTATGGTTATGTAGAATCCACCGTCGCATACCCGTTATTTGATCGAATAGACTTGAACTAGTTCAAATCATTCTTCAAAGGACAATTATTGGCGCATAATGAAGCACTATCACTATAATGTTAAACAAGCTCTTGGGATTTCAATGACTCCATCCAGATGATTTGTCAAATACATAAGTTTAATTACACAATAAGTTTTATCACTAAAAAACAAAATTTCATTATCCCTAAATTTGGAAACACACCCTAAGTTTTGAAAATCATCCCCCTTTCTAAAATAAAAATCTGGGGAACAATCTGGTCCCACTAACTTTACTAACAGATGTGCCTTTTAATGCGTCACTTTGCTTTAAAGCGATTCGATTAAAAAACACAAAAATCACTTGATTATCGGACGTTTTATATCTCGTTTAAACTTAAACCTAAAATACTTACATTTCTGTGACATCAGCAGGCATTGAGACTGGGAGCGATTTCAAACCTTTGTCTCGGCAATCAACAATTCCGTTAGAACATTTGCACATGGATGGACAGTAAGATGACATTTCACATTTCGGTTTTTGTCTGCCTGTTGATGCTGTTAAAATTAAAAGTTTTTGATTTAATTGTATTTGATATTGACTTCAAAACTAAGTATATGAGAACTTCATCTTCTTGTATCAACGAGAACGCCTGTTATTGGACACGTTTAGTGGACATCGATCGTTTCAATATTATGTTGTTATTGTTATTTGTCTCCATCATTTTTAAAAAATCGCTTTTCTTTTCGAATACTGGACCAATTGCTTTGAAATTTTCAGTGGTTGAAGATAAATTTTTTTTCCAGAAGGCTATTTTTTTGACTTTTTTTCGCTATGACGTCATCAAAATTATTGTCATTGGGTGGCGCTACGTGTCCATATATTTGAGCATAGCTCTCTTGTCATTGAATGAGAATGCTGTGGTTGTCATGTGCAACAGTGGTCTCCAGTGATGAAAAACAAAAATTATCTCCAATTTAGAAAGAGGATTGCGGAAAATAGCCTTGGATGAGGTTTATGTTACCAGTATGCAAATTAACCCAATGAAACTAAAGAATATTGTTCATCGTATAATAATCAATTTAAATAAGATCATGCGTCGAAAGTCTACTGTTAGGAGTTAAGATATATGAAGTTCTACTGCGCAAATAAATGCTTACTTAAATAATTTTAAATAAAAGTTCAAAAACTTCATTTAAATTCAGTTATAAATTTGTTAATGCAATAAGAAACAAACGGTTAAAATGATTAAAATAAAATATATAAAACGCCTTCTTCCACCGCCCTCTATTGTCATTGGCCATTTCATATCACGATCGCTTGGCGCTGTTATTATAGTATACAATCTTCAAAGGCAAGCTGTTCTATTCAATTTTACACAACGTGCGTGTTTATTTATTTTCGGCACGCATCTTCTTTCGTAATGTTTATGTTTTAAAATGGTTTCTTGGCTTTCCAAATAACGGTATAGTTTGGTTTATTTGAACTATAACACGAATGACTTCTAAATTGGATTTGAGGGATTTCCATTGTTTATGCCATTTGTGATGTCATAAAGCGGCATCGTTTAAAGTTGCAAAATCTGCGTTTTGTGAAGCTATGTAACCATAACGTGCCATGAATGCTTCGGTGACGTGTTATATTAAGTTATGCTTTATGCTAAGAAACTTGAAATAAATGGGTATTATTGCAGTACATACAAAAATTGATATAAATATATTGATGATATTAAATATATGTCTTTTGGCGCATCTTCTATTAAATAGACAGAATGTCTGCGTTTTAGTTTCAAAATAAAAGTCAGTCACCAAATTTACAATTACGGTTTCAGAAATTTTGCCACCCACAACGTCACGCCCTTCTCATTTGATTACTCAGACACGTGATTCATATTTATATCATTGTGACGAAATAAAACCCATAATTATGACCAGACAACTAAATTATATACTACTGTGTGATCACAAATACATTTTTAGTTTCTGAAATCATGGGAAAGTTTGGACATACTTTTCAGAGTTTCCCAAAACCAGACATTGTGTCTAGGACAATCTTTTTGACATTTTTATATAGCCCTAATTAAGGCGTGGTAAATAGCATACGGTAAATAACAAACATCAACATCTTGAATGCGTGGCGTGATTTGATTGGTTGAATTTGAACAACAATTTAGCGACTGACGTGGCAAAAGTGTCCACGTACGAATAACTATTTCTGTTTTTATTTAATATACTTTATAAGTTCAAATGTCATTGTCAACACTGACGGAAAACACTGGAGTTTCTAAAAATATTTGCAGTAACGAGAAACCTACACATTGCTCAAAGCAAGGCAGTCGGGCATTGAAGTAATTGTAATTTTCTACTTTTGTTTGAGAGTTTGTGCTACTGCTTTTGAGCAAAATATAAAATAAAACATATTACAGTAGCGTTTTTTGTACTAAGCATGGCTAACAAAACTCGGTTATAGGAACAACGAACATCTGCAAAACATGGGTGGTTTGAGAAATCTTAAACGGCCGGTAAACGGTAAACTAGGATATGTTTCAGTTATTCATTTTTTAAAACAAAGCACGTATGGAAGCGTACCTTCGAACAGTTCTTGAGCAAAACTTTAGTCCCAATAACTTTACAAATCAAATAACTCACCATCACAGACGAATTCGCCTCTTTCCAGATGTTTTATTTCCATTCCCTGTAAATGTGAAGGTTCCGCACACTGAGTAAATAAACCAGCACTTGGTCTTGAGATCAGCCATTCTGATATCCACGCAAGATGACAATCGCAATTCAAAGGGTTGTTGTTGAAACGACTGAAAGTGAAACAAAATCAGTGAATTCAAATAGAAGTGTGAACGCATGTATATTATTAGAATTAGACATGGAATAGGACTTGCACAACCCACGTCTCAAATAGTACGCTGTGGGTTCGGGAATTTCGTAAAAGACAAAAAGACAATACTTGTTAACATTTTTTCATTTTCTTGTTTATCAATAGTCTTATTCAATGTCGGACAAATTCTCCCAATTTATTTTCATTACTTTTATTTAAAGTTTTGAAAATCTTTTTGATTATGTATGACTATACCATTAATCTTTATTATCTAAAATTAGCATTCTTAACTTAAAATAACAGGTCGTGGCATATTTTTTATACATCAGATAAAATTGAAGTATTTGCCAAAGATTTTAATGTTTTCATATGTTTTTATATTTCACTCTAGACAAGGCCATGGACAAACAGGCAGTTATATGTCAAATTGGTATGTTAATATTACTGAAATGATATTTTACATAAAAATTGCATCAAAATAATTCATTGTTAACTCACAATGTCCTCAATTTCATCAAATGTTCAAAACTTTGTAGCGGGAGTGTTGTTAGTTTGTTGTTGTCTAAAGTCAGGAACTCCACACTGCGGACTGGTCTGAGACTACTTTCGTGTAGACACGATATCTCGTTGTTGCTTAGTTGCCTAGAAAATAATATTAAAGTCTGTAAGACCATATTTACGTACGAAACGTTTTCCAAAAAAGATTTTAAGTGGGACGGGCATCCCCTAACCTTCCTTCTTAAGGCCTCAAATATTGAAGACCGGTCTTCGAATTCCACACATGTTTATGGCCCACAGTGGCGCATGAACAACTAACGTCAAATAAGATATCATTGGCACCGCTTCATGTGTTTTTCTTAATTCGAACTTTAGCGCACACCTGCTTTTCGTAGACATCATTTTACCCTCTGATATGATTCAGAACGGAATCAATGGAATGTATTTGATCAAGAAACTCTATATTATCAATTGCAAGTTGAAGTTCAAGAGCTTCGTGCCTATTTCAAAGTCACGTTGAAGCTTCCACGTGAAAGAATTTTACCTCTGTGATCGCATTGGAGTGTGGACGTCACCGAGATAAATTATCACTCAGAACAAATTTCATTAAATATGAATATATCGATTCTAGTTGCTTTTAGAATGACTTAAACAACTGAAATATAATATTCTTTTCCAAAATGTGTTTACCAATTGTGTGTTTGTATTATGAATGAATTATGACGATTTTAACAATTGAAATATTTTTCACCAGACAATTTATTACAAAGTTTTAATATCCATATACTATTCTGCTATTGGACCTTACTTGAATCAAGTTGTGCAGAGATATTAACGATTTTCAATAGAATGGCTAAAATTACTTAAAAATGTACACATTACACAATATACATATATACGTTATACGTTTGCGAACAAAAGCCAGACAAAGAATTTGTGAGTTTACCAAACGGATTGATTCAGCCCCACACACAATCTGTGCTTCTACAGCACAGGAAGACGTCGCGAATTACCACCTGCACCTTGAAAGAATCCACTTTACTTCAGAAACCCGCAAAGTTGTCAGACAAACCAAATATGTAAATACTTGAACGTCGGTTTGGTTTAATTCACCCGCAAACAGGCCCCACTCGTGCTCCAACTTTGATATCAAAAATCCCGCCCCACATGTGTGGAAACAGTACCCGCTCGCTATCAGATAAGTAACGTTTTCATAATGGTACTTGTGGTTCGTTTAAAGATGCTTGGCATGTGTATTCGTGTCATGATGCCTTCGCACGAATTCTGGGCCAGGTGTGACGTCACGGGGTTAAAGTTCGAACCTCGAACCAGGTGCTATCACGTGGGAAAAGCGAATCACGCGAAATAACGTTTCGGATTGAATATCCTGTGTTTGTGTAACGCGATGTTCTTACACTTGACATAAGGTTGTCAGCCTGTGACCTTTTGAACCAGGAAACGGAATTGGAGTATAATCCAATCAAATCAACAAAGGATTTAAGAGAAAATACTCGAAATGCAACCGGTCGGTGGTTTATTAATCAAAAAGTTGAAGAAAAATCAACAATATAGCGTTTCGTACCAAGGGTCGTGTGAACGTAATGCCAGGTGGGACCAGGTTAATCCATGTATTTCATGCACGCATTTTTGTGTACGAGACCCGCAGGATACGATATCACGAATGTCCCAAAACATCGGAACCCAAGTGATAACATTGGCGACAAATGTGGGATTACGTCACAACCGGACCTGCATCTCTAGGAATAAAGTAAACTAAGGTGACAGCTGTCGAAATTTCAATGAAACGTTAGTGAGCATTTTTTCCCTTCCAACTAATAGTTCGTGCATTATTTGTAGTCTAAATCACTTTAATACCGTTTCTTACCGCTCAAATCGATATTTCAAATATCTCTAACATTGAGTGTTACTTACGAGCAGTCCTATTTTTGTTTTAATTATTCGTATAATATTTATTTGAAGTGTACCTCACTGGTCATTACGTTTCTTCCATTGCGCGATGGCATATCGGTTAATTAAATCTTTAAAATTAGCTGTGCAAAAATTAGCGGTTGCAAGTCACACAATTCGGGTTCACGCCCGCACTGGTCATTCAATGAAATAGCAGTTCCACACCCATTATTAGATATTAGTGGATTCTTATTCATGACCTTGTGCGAAAGACGTGAATGAGCTTAGTACTAAAAATTACAATTCGAATCTTTCTGACACTGAGGGTTGCCAGACTTTTTGTTAACGCCGAGCGTGTTTTAATACATTTGGAACAGCAGTTGGAAGAACTTTTCACAACTAGCGATATTAATCCTGACTGGCAAGAGTATTTGAGAAAATGCGTGGTTGGAAGGCACGTGCATGGTTTCCTAAACGAAGCTTTCTTAGGTCTCTCAACAACCAATCCACCGAAACCACCAACAATCTCGACTTTTCTATCCTATCACAACAGCCACGTTCGGAAGATAAGAGTCTTGAGTCAGACGTAACTTCGAGGTCAAATATATAATTTGCTACAAATCCGAAAAATAGCGAAATTTTTTGGAAAAATTATTAGGATTTGTTGCAGGATTTGTTAACAACGTAAAAGGATTGTAGGTAATGAATAAGGAGAATACAATTGTTAATAATGCTTCGTTATTGAAGTATTTTTATTTTACTATTTTAATTCGCCGAATTCGAAAATATCAAATGGAACTCAGATTCCTGAAATACTTGTAAAAATTAAATACATGCCCTTTTGCTCTAACTCTCAAGATAATGGTGCGGAAGCCTTTCAGCGCGGTATATACTAGATACGGTGTAGCGAAACAATACCCCGATTACAGCCTTCTATCCTAGAATGCATCTTGTTTACAACTTGTGGCCATGAATCATTTTATCAGTACGTAATATGACACTACAATGCCCTCGTCGCGTGCGTTTGTGACGTCACGTTCAAAACAAGAATAGAGTTACCTGTGGGAAGCTACAAAAATGCCGCTTCAATTTTAAATGTCAATTCAAAAATTTTAAGTACGAAATATGGCCACAACGATTAAGTTTATAACAGAAATCTGCAATTTGAAGTGTTGCCAAATCAAATATTCAACCCTAGGTACCGTGCGAACGATAGGACATTGTAGTATCGATGACAAAGATCCCGGAACGCCTTCGAGATTCCAGAAAAACAACTTTCATTTCTTGAGCGACCCTTTTGGTTTAATTTTTGATTCAATGTAATCTCAAACCATTTCATCCGATGTACTTCATGCTATTTCTTCGGCGTTTCGCACTATTCAGGACATGACCATTTACCAAATAGTATTTAAATATGATTAAAAAGATAATGCTCTGCGAAATGTTAGAAATGCCAAATTGAATCAATAAACTAAAGAACAGATATGATACAGATATAGTATAAAAATAGGTGGTTGCGGTTGCGGAAAAAAGAATTAATGACGATGTATCAGGGGAAATAAACTTACAATGTTCTGAGTGAGTTCGGTCCTCTGAACGTTTTCTTCTGAATGATTCCGATTCTGTTGTGAGAGAGATCTCTGTTATAAAAGGAAATAATATTTAGATAAAAGCATTGCGTGTGAGTACTTTACAAGTGAATTGGGTATACACATATATACAAGTTTATCTCAAACGGATATTCGGTTTTCATAATGAATATGAAATTTGACACCAGAGTAATAGCTACTTTGTGCTAAACGTTAATGCTATTACAAATTTGACAGCTGGGGGTACGATAAAAAATGCAAATAAAAATACGAGCGAGAGACATACCGATACAAACACGCGACTGCAATGAACCACTCAAAACAAAGTCATAATATCTGTCATGATGGAAAGGATGTTAATAAATTCGCTTATTTGAAAGTATTGGTCATTTCCACTAGAAAGAGATCGAATGAAGAGACGAAGTAGCGATTAATTATATATATTCACAAATGAAATTTGATAATAATTTATTTTATTACTCCAACAAAAATAGAGAACATTCCATTTTCAAGCAATATTTATAAAATGAGGATCAAACCTAAAGCAATGATACAAATATCTACATTACATATTTTGCTGGGTATTTTAAAAATTAGGTTCTAAGAGTAATAAGTAATAACAGATGTCTGTGGTATTAGTACTTCGAACACGACCTTGCTAGAAAAATTGCAAATAGGAAAGAAATTTTCACAAAATTATAATTAAAAACCATGGTTGTAATATATGATCATATCCAATGTTTATCAAGTATCAGAAAGTATAAGACTGAGATATTATTTGAGTCCATACTATGAAAAGCTGTTAAAAACAGAACACACGAGGTTGCTGATTTACTTTTAAATATTTAGTGAAATTACTTCTTATTTTTATTAGTATACCACTCTACAAATAAAACATTGATTACAAAGTGACAACTGAAAGTATTTGCGAAATGCTGTCCACAAATTAACCAATGACCGGGGTTATCAAGCCACAACCTTGCTAATGACACGTCAAAGTGTCTAATTACTAAGAGTTGTGGTTTTGTATCTGTATCTCAAGGGAAATGTGAAATTAATACAGAGTGGTGGCGGTTCATATTGCTGGTTATTATGATATATGGCAGCTCCTCAGTATTAATAAATGTTTAGGTTGCATTCGTGTTACAAAGTTCACTATAGAATAAGATACCATAGGAATATTAAAGTTTGCTTCAAATTGTCTGGCGCAAAAGACGTTAATTGTTAAAAGCGCCATACACTTCCACACTGCACACAACGCAACATATTACTAGATACAATATTATATACATAGGTTACAATAATAACATCAAAATAAAAACTAACTCTATAAGTATTAAAATCATGTTCTGTACTGAAACTGAATCCCGAAATTCGAATATTTAAATGAGTACAGATGAACGCAAGCAAAGTCAAATTTTTTAGGAGTGACATCATTATAAGACCGATATTGCGCTAAATGTCATTTCCTACCTCTTTATATTTGATAAACTATATAATCAGCAAAACAAACGCGCCGCTATTTTTTAAACGGAAAAAATCAGTATATAGAATGACCATGTAAACACCGAACAAAAATGTACCACATGGTGGCGCTCTTTTGTTAAAAAAGTGTAACACCCGATCTAGAACGAAGCTCGCGCAATGTAAACAGATAGTCAGAGAGATTAATTTCGTCTCAGAGCATAAAGAACTGATTGCTAACCAATAGCTTTAGTGAAGTTCTGAACTTTCTCAAATTTGGTAAAAATGATCATATTCAGTTGGTATTTCACTATATTTCCTGATGCAATTCAGAAATAACGTGTCGCGTCAATTGCTATGCGCCGATTTTTTTTTTAAATTGATTTATTCTTGCTCTGTGTCGCATATTGGTTATTGTACGACAAACAAAAAAACATAAATTTGAAACATAATAATTTAATTGAATCCCATACCCGACATGGACTATAGTAACCAGACGAGGGTTTGTGGTACGACTTATAATTAGGCCGTCTTATGGGCTTTCTTTTCTCTTGGGATATAAATGATATGGTATCCTATGTCTGAATCAGATAAACTAAAACAGCGACATTGCGTGCAAAGTATCCACCCCTTGTTTTACTAAAGAATTCAAAATTCAACCGTTTCCAAATAAGGATAATTGGTTTACAATTCGAATTAGAATGGATTTACTGATTTGAAAATTCCTTTTAATTTGGAAATACTTCAGCCGAATCTTGGGGTTTCGCCGTATTGGCCGAGCAATTTCGAGCGATAAACTAACATAATTGTTACGTAAGAATGCATGTTTTCCAGTTGACTACTATGAGCAAATAGAGAAAAATATGGAGTGAGCTGAACTCTACATGGTGGATTAGGGATACTTATTAAATTACATATGGCCATAGATATTTCTATGGTAAACTCATAAAGGTCAGTGTAAAAGACGAACGATGTGTAAACAATGTAAAAATATAACAAATGTTCTCTAGGTTGGTAAAGTATTTTAAGTGATCCGACTTTGATGCATCGGAAATTATGCCCAACAGTTTTCTTAGACATATCGCGTGATATATGAATCCTATGATATTCTAACAACAGAAGAATTTGGGTTTCCCAAATTTTGAGGATGTTTCATTATAAAATATACCCTACATTATAGTATGGTAAGCATAAAGGATTGTGGCTCACTATATAAGTGCATTCGGTGAAGACACAGATGAAAAAAAAAAAAAAATCATAAAACGCGCATTAACTATTCATCAGATATTGAACAACCTGGCCGTATTTGTGAAAATTTCACATCAACACCACGATAAGGCATCATTAAATGCTGACTAGCAATTTGAGTTGGTAAAAATGAACGCGTTTGAATACACATTATCATTTGTCAAATTCCATAAATTATTACAAGTGTTTTGCAGTTTTACAATTTGCGTCCCCGTCTTGCAAAAAGCTCAATCAGGCACGTACAGCTTACGAAGCAGCGTTGGCACTCGCTCATTATGAGTATTTAATGGTATTTTGTCGCGACACATTGACAGCTTCTTAATATCAGTTTACAACTTGTCACAGCTCCCGATAAGAAAACAATTTTTCAGATACGATGTGTTTTACGATTCGTGAATTATCGCAAGTTAATCCCTCTCCGGCTACGATTAGGTTAGACGTTGAGATAGTCCTAATCGGCATTTGAATGGTCTATCCCGCGGAAAAGGACAAATTGGGCGCCCTTCTTCAATGTAACAAAAAATTGATTTGTGATATTAAACGCAATTTTATCTATTCACAATTGTATAAAATCTTGCGGTAATCAAATTCTAAAATAATTGGAAAATGGTCAAAAGTTTGAATGTGGCCTTTTCACATCTGATTATAAATTAAAGCTTATGCTATGTTTTTTACGAAGCAAAAGAGTGAAGCCCTTGGATAGTAACTGGGTTATAACCAATTTTTATTTCGAGCAGAGGTGACCGGGGACGTTTATTGGAGGGGGTTTTCTAATTATTATCCAAAATATTTGATATCAGATGTAGTATCCGTGCCTAAGTTGCATATCCGTTACTCCTCTCGCTTCCAAACTTCTAATATTCTTTATCCGGGTGGACTTAGTATCATATCCATTCAAACGCCAGTTCAAAGCGACCCAAGGCCTCAATTGATAGCAACAAAGTATAGGTGGTCGCAGCCAAAGTGGCGCTGCTTGGTCACCCAGAGTAGCAATTATACAAGGTAGGATAAAGATGGCACAATTTTTCAATTCATACGAGCTTAAGTAAACTATGAATGATCGGGGCGTAATTCGAAGGTGTGTTTTTAGTGCTTAGTGTGGGATTATGAAGTCATACAGACAGGTCCTGGCCAAAAATGACCAGTTCTATAATACGATTCAAATCTATTCATAATCGGACACTTTACCACGTATTTTATGTCCCCGAATTTGTCGTATTATTTTAGAATTGTAATTCATTTATTTTACCGTAACTCGGCTTTGAATTGATTAACACAATTAAATTATTATGGCAAGACATTTTGAATAATCGCATCGGACTTGGATTGAATATTTTACGCAACGGAAAACTCGTTATCCGATGAAAAAGTAGGTTATTTTGACGAGTAGCGTAATCGCGAAGACTGCTTTAGTAGTCGTTGCATGAGAATTTCCGAACCCACCTCCCCTTTGAAATAAATTCTAGTTGCGGCCCTGGACTACTATAGATAGTCTTACGTGTATTCTTGAATATTTTAAACATCAACGCTGCCGCGTGCCTATGCATATCGTACACGTCTTGTACAAAATGGCAATTCAAATGTAACAACAAGGGCTTATTATTAGTATTTGGTAGAATCATGTATTACGTTTAAATACATCAAAACTAACTGTTCCAATTGGCAATTCATACTGTGGGGCGTAGGCTGTACACGTTATGAATTTGAGTCAAGAAATTTGATAGAATATAAACATTGAAACGTGCCTTATGTTGTGTATCTTGAACATTCAAAACCAACTTTCCTAATCCACCTATGTTGACGGACGTTAAAAAGGGTTGCTCACTTAGACGTAAATACCTTAACCCTTAGCGTAATTTCTGCATTTGGTTAAGTGAAAGCCATTACAAAATTTACTATGTTGTACATAAGGGTTATGTTTATACTAGTATGTGTGAAATATATGCGGAATGTATAATATTAGGACCCGCCGAATTCCAAATATTGAATTTTTAACTCATTTCACACTTATGAAATTATTTCGGGCGACAAATATTACTATGTTTAATATGCATTTGGTTATCTACCCAGAAGACAGAAAGTAAATCAGTAAAATCCTCTCGTGATTTTCCAAAACGAAAAGTGTGCCCTAGCTCCTAATATATATATAATAATATGCATTTACTTATGTAATAAGCATAGGAGAGTTTCGAAATTTAGAATAAAGGAAAATTTAAAAGATTTCCTTTGGTTTTCTAATAGATTATTCTGCTCCGATTCCTAACATTTCTAACTAAAAGCTTTGAATTTGCTGTTACTAAAACTTCGCCATTTCGAGATATCTGTGCAAAAGACGCGCC